CACATGCCCATGCACGCCACAACCTCCCATCTATTCGTAGAAATAGTACAAACGCTCGCAGCTTACTGCAATCATGCTAATAGTGCCTACCACAACGACTATGACGGACGTTCCTTTCCTGCCTAGGTTGTTTATAGTATGGCACGCCTTTTATTACGACACATTCCAAAATAGTGCCATCCAGTCTTGCATTAAGTTCCTCGAGCAGATAAGCAATGCGGAAGAAGATACCGTCGTAGTGACGAGGAGTGAATTACGTGCTCGAAACCGAAGCTTACGGCGGCGCCGCTTAGGCGTGTGGGAGGACGAAATGGCGACGATGCCCGAGGAGGTGTTCATCGACTTGTTCCGCATTAATCGCGCTATTCTGGAATACGTATGTCAAGGAATGGCTCACGTGCTCAACCCCGTCATCCAGCGCCATCGCATTCCAATTACAGTGGCCGTGCTCATACCAATCAAGTATTTCGCAAGCGCGATGGCGTATGTGGACCTGGCTTTCTGGTTCGGTGTGCCAAAAACCCTGTGCCATCACCTCGTAGACCTCTTCCTCTTAAACTTTCCCACCGTTTTCAAAGCGGCCTGGGTACGTTTCCCGACACAGGATGAAATGCGTGACATGGCTGAAGAGTTCCGGAATATTAAAGGGGTGCCAATGGTTGTAGGTGCTATTGACGGCACACATGTCCAGATTCGGGGGATGGAGGGGCATCGGGCGGAATATTACACGCGAAAATCACAATATGCCGTGCAACTACAAGTGACATGCGACGCTAAAGGAACCATCTGGGATTACCTAATAGGCTATCCAGGCACCGCCCATGACCAGCGGGTGTTCGTCCTGTCTAGCCTCTATGAGCGACTACGAAGAGGTGACCTCGCACCGTACCAGCTGGTAGGAGACGCCGCCTACCCGCTCCGCAGCTACTACTTGACGCCATTGCAAGCTCCCACTGGCCGCCTCATGCTCGAGTGGGAGCAGACCTTCAATTACTGCCAGTCCGCGACTCGCATGCCCGTGGAGCGAACCATTGGTGCGTTGAAAGGACGGTACCGCCTATTTGCCGGCCGTCACGAGTGCGCGTTATGGCGGGTCCTTGCCGGCGCCAGCTGTGTTGTCATACTGCACAACATGGGCATCAAGATGGCAACTTCCAGGATGAGAACAATCAATCACACGTGGGCTGCGCGGCTGATCAACCAAGACCCATGGTGGACGAGAGGAGAACTTGCACGGTATAATTGGTGCGCCGATCTTGCCGTCACTACACACGATCTCAAGGAGAGGAGGAAGAGGCTCGGGGAGGCGCTGCATGTGGAATACCTTAAGCGACGTCGGACCGGCGATGCCACACCTCCACGTCGTCGGTGACTTCATCAGCGGCGTCGGTATTGTAGCCGGTCGGCCCTGATTCATCCGCCCAACTGACTCGTTGCTGTTGATAAGGCAGTTGTTGCAGCTGTTGCTGCTGATAAGACAGTTGCTGCGGCTGTTGCTGCTGATAAGACAGTTGCTGCGGCTGTTGCTGCTGGTAAACAAGTTGTTGTGGCTGTTGCTGCTGATAAACCAGCTGATGCTGTTGCTCCTGGTAAGCCAGCAGCTGCTGTTGCCGTTGTTGATATTGTTGCTCTTGCTGAAGCCTTTCATTCAAACCCACAATCGACTCCCCTGGCTTTCGCCATGCTACCCCATACGACTGCAGGCCCGCCCCTGACGACTGCTGGCTGAGTCCTGACGGCTGCTGGCTGATTCCTGACGGCTGCTGGTTGATTCCTGATGGCTGCCCGCCAATAATGAACACCTGTTGGTTTGACCCAACAGTTAAGGACACACAACTGACTCGTTACAGAGCAGTTGCCCGAGTCGCGCTATATCGAACCGCAACAGCAATACAGTTATCTATCTATTCTCTGTACTCTTATATAAATCCTTGTATTTGCTTGTTTAATTCAATCAACTTTGCTCTCACACACCAGTGCAAGGCCGGTTCAAATTCTTCACTTTGCTTATGTTTTTCCTTTGAGAAATTATGCCATGCACCTATTCGTGATATTTTCCCATCTTTAAAAATCTGTATTTCGTTAGAGCAACATCGCGTATAAGCCTCACGTATCAAGTTGCGTGACGGTACAGAAAGATCGTAACCAATCGATTCTCGTACTCGACACTGGCAAGATTCCTCTTGTCGTCCATTACGGACCGCGTATCTCCCAAGGCTGATGGGTGGCCCGATGGTGTCCGCTCCGGCGCACATAGGGAACACTGCATTGGCTTGACTCCAAACGACCAATCGTCAGCTTTCCCCACGTGTGCCTGCCGATGCCTCGACTCATCTCTCGTTAGATCCCTTGGGCTGCCGAACATCGCCCAGGTTCCTTTCTTCTCTTTCGCCCTCAGCGAAGCGACACAACACTAACACCACTGTCAATTCGCTTCCTATCAGCTCAGCAAATCACTCCTAAGCTTCTTTATCGAGTTATCAACCATCACTTGTCTGTTTCTCTTCCGTGTGTCCGCTCTGCTTGGAAGGAAGCAGTGGTCACATCGTTTTCTATCCTAGCTCGCTTCTCGGTTACTCCCCGCATTCCAGCATGTGGTTGCTTTTCCACGCGTGAGCTACTTACTTGGTGCTAGCAACCTGGTCACAGCCTCGTTCTCGATTTCAAGGGATATTCTTTGACAAACCACGTGTCATTCTCCAAAGTTTTTGTGTCTACATCCACAGCCACGTGTCATTTCCTGTCAAAGCCATGGACGATGAATCGAGAAGCGTCACTTCCAGTGAAAGCTCCGAGTCAGTCAACAGCCACGTCAGCGGTAAAAAGGGAGGCATCGTTTTCAAGAATCGTCTTAAGGGAAAGGTAAGAGAAGCTAACTGACCCAGCAGAGCAACAGTTGCGAGTAATAAGAGCGACGAGAATGATATACAAGAGCGAAGATAATGAGATAGTTGAGCGACAAAAATGAGTTACAAAAGCGAGAATAATGTGATAAAAGAGCGAGCGACAGCGATGAGTTTTAAGAGCGAAAACAGTGAGGGTAGACGACCTAGAACTAATCGTTTCCCGTCAGACACTACTTTTTTGCTCCCACTGTTGGACCTGGTTTTTTGGTTTTTTTTCACCCAAAAAAAAAAAATCTCGCCATTTGCTGTTACTTCCTCTTCGAAAACCCTTCTAAGAGCATCCTGCATAAATAAATGCTTGACTCACAATCGTCCGACCTAGTTTTTCTTGTTAAGTGGCTCGAATTTGTGCCATTCTTTAGTCCATCTTGCGTCAAAACAACAAGAAATTGAAACGTGAAACGACCTTTCTCTTCTCTCGAAACCCCCCTGAACTATCTTGTTATTGTCTCTGTCCATTCTCCCCTCTCCTTCTCCTCACCCCCCGTTCCTCCCTTTCCCCTCCCCTTGTTCCGACTCGCCTCTCTTCCCCCTTCCCTCCCCCTTCCCCCTCCCCACTCCCCTTTCCCCCTCCTCCTTTCCGCTTTCCCCCTCCCGCTTTCCGCTTTCCCCCTCCCCCTTTCCGCTTTCCCCCTCCCCCTTTCCGCTTTCCCCCTCCCCCTTTCCGCTTTCCCCCTCCCCCCTTCCGCTTTCCCCCTCCGCCGCTCTCAGGCATCCGTCTCTAGCGTGGCCCTCCCCTCCTTCGGCGACTGGCAAAGCAAATCCTCCGCCACTCCCGCCCTCGCTCCTGGAAAGACCCGCGCAAACGGGGCGGTTAATAACGGGGATGAGGATGGCGGATACACTCAAGTATTCAAAAAGAAAGCCAGCGGCCGAGCAGCAAGCTACGGAACTGCCGTGACGCCTCAGACCAGCCTGGGACGTCAAGGTTCAGGGGCTAGCCAGCAGTCATCTGGAGGTGATTCGGGAAGGGGACGGGTACAGCATGCGCACGGGATGCAGTACGGTGAGAGGCCTCTGCAGTACGGTGAGAGGGCTGAACAGTACGGTGGGAGGCCTCTTCAGAACGGTGAGTGGCCTCAGCAGTACGGTGTGCGAGCGCAGCTGTCAGGGATCAGCCGGCAGTCGTCAAGTGATAGCCTGTTGTCATCAGGGTCGAACCGCCAGCCGTCAGGACTCAGCCAGCAGCCGTCAGGAATGAGTCGGCAGTCGTCAGGTGATAGCCTGCTGTCATCCGCAGGGTCAAACCAGCAGCCGTTGGGACTTAACCACCAGCCGTCAGGACTTAGCCAGCGGCCGTCAGGAATCAGCCAGCAGCCGCCTGGGGCAAGCCAGCAGGTGTTGACTGCAGGCTTGAATGAAAGGCTTCAGCAGGAGCAGCGGCAGCAGCAGCAGCAGCAGCTTATGTATCAACAGCAGCAACAGCGGCACAATCAGCAGCAACAGCAGCAACCCACTTATCAACAGCAACAGCAACAACCCACTTATCAACGGCAACAGCAGCAACCCACTTATCAACAGCAACAGCAGCAACCCACTTACCAACAGCAACAGCAGCAACCCACTTATCAACAGCAACAGCAGCAACCCACTTATCAACAGCAACAGCAGCAACCCACTTTTCAACAGCAACAGCAGCAACCCACTTATCAACAGCAACAGCAGCAACCCACTTATCAACAGCAACAGCAGCAACCCACTTATCAAAAGCAACAGCAGCAACCCACTTATCAACAGCAACAGCAGCAACCCACTTATCAACAGCAACAGCAGCAACCCACTTATCAACAGCAACAGCAGCAACCCACTTATCAACAGCAACAGCAGCAACCCACTTATCAACAGCAACAGCAGCAACATCAGCAGAATCAGCAGCAACTGGCTTATCAGCAGCAACAGCTGCAGCATCAGCAGCAACAGCTGCAGCATCAGCAGCAACAAATAAGGAATTACCAAATGGGGCGAGACCTGGGAGGGAGCATCGGAGGGACTTTGGCACCGATCTATAGTGGCAGCAGCACCACTCAGCAGCGGCAACTGTCGCAGCAGCAGCAGCAGCAGCAGCAGCAGCAGCAGCAACAGCCGCCGCACTCAATGCATGGTCAAATGGGGCGAGAAATGGGTATGGGAGGGCGCATCGGAGGGACTTTGGCACCCATCTATAGTGGCAGCAGCACCACTGACGATGATGCAGCCGCTTCAGAAAGCATCGTTGGGGACAACTTTATCAATGATAAAGTTATTGATAAGACTGTTGTTACCAGTTACACGGTAACCACTACCAGTGACACTGTTATGAACAGCGCAGTTGCCAGTCGCAATGTTTCCAGCAGCGTGGCTGCACACTTGACAAGTCTAGCTTTACACGCAGCAGGAACGGGTGCGAAGCTAGTGCCTTCAGCAGCACCACCAGCAGCACCTGCAGCTCCACCAGCCGTTGCAGCACCACCCACACCACCCTTGGCAGCAGCAGCACTGGCAACATCTCCAGAAGCGGCAACACTAGCAGCGCCAGCAGCAGCAGCAGGAGGAGGAGAAATGCCGACGATGCAGGAGCTTCAGCTGCTGCAGATGCAACTGCTGGAACAGCTACAGCGCGTTCAGCTGGTCCTGGGGAGCCAAAACGCTCTCCCTCTTACCATCCCGCCCCTTTCCTCTTCTGCTGCTGCTCCCATGGCTGCATCGCCTGCTCCTGTCGCTGCTGCTACGCCTGTTGCTGCTGCTGCTCCGGTCGCTGCTGCTGCTCCTGTTGCTGCTGCTACGCCTCTACCTGCTACCCCTGCCTCACTGCCTGCGGCCCCCGCCCCCTTACCTGTTGCCCCTGCTCCTTTACCCGCTATTTCTGACCCCCTACCTCTTACCCCTGCTCCCGTACCCGCTATCCCAGCCCCTGCTATCGTGCCTGCAGATGCGTCTAGTTCTGCTGCTAGTTTTGAGGCGCCTCAAACTGCGTCTAGCGTTGCTGCCAGGGAGCATGCAAGGTGGATAAAAAAAGAGGAAGCTGAGGAGGGAATGGGGAAGGAAAGCGAGGAGGATGGGTGGATGAACAAGGAAAAAAACGAAGAGCAGGAGGCTGAGAGGGCGAGGGGGAAGGGAGGGGAGGAGACGGGGTGGATGAAAAGGGAGGAAGCTGAGGAGGGTGGGAAAGTGGGGGGAAGCAAGGAGGCGGAGGAGGCGGAGAGGGAGGGAGAAGATGAAGAGGAGGAAGATGAGGCATTGCTGAAGGAGCAGTGGAAAGCACAGGTGCTCAAGATGACTGCAGCGTTGAGTGTTGGAGAGGGAGAGCGAGAGGGAGGAGAGGGAGTAGAGGGAGGAGAAGCACCAGAAGCACCGGCACCTGAGGATTCACCTGACGCAGCAGTGGGGCCTGGTTCTGGATACTATGAGGCACCTGAGGATTCACCCGACGCAGCAGTGGGGCCTGGTCTGGGGTTCTATGGGGCACTTGAGAAAAAGCCTGGCGCAGCTTCTTCAGGCAACAACGTATCTCTCAACCGTTTTTCATCAGCCGCAGCTGCAGAAGCAGATGCAATGGAGGAAGGGGCAGCTGCGGCTTTAGAAGCTGCTCTTGCTGACGTGGAAGCAGCAGCAGCAGAAGGAGCATTCGCTTACACAGGTGAATATTCAGGTGCTGGAGAGGCAGGGTCTGGCCTTGGGGCACGAGAAAGTTACTTGCTGAGAGTAGCAGCAGCTGAACTCGCAGGTGGGGTAGAGGTGGAAGCACCTGAGTCGCTCACAGCAGCTCTTGCGAATGCTGAAGCTGCAGCAAGGGATGATGCTGCTGATGCTGGTGCTGCTGGTGGTGGTGTTTGTGGCGGTGCTGCTGCTGTTGCTTCCGGCGGTAACAACGGCTTGGCACATGCGAAACCTAATAAACTCGGCAAATTACCGTTTATTAAATCAGTCTCTGTACCAAAAGGTTTTGGGGCCTTGTACCCTGTGGGGCCGAAATCCCCATTCCAAAGTCTGGCAAGGGCCGGCTCGGGAAACGTGGCAGGTGGTTTGGCGAGGGCAGGTTCGGGAAATGTTGCTGGAGCCAGAGGTGCCAGCCCGAACCTACACCCGGAGCAGGAGGATGGGGATGAATGGGGCGGGGCTACTGAGAAGTTTCAAAGGATGGGGCTGGCTCGAATGGCCAAGCCCTCGTTTAAAGGTGGGAGGCCGGGACGGATTGATGAGCAGAACAGTTCTTGTAACGAGGATGCTTATATGGAGAGCGGCTTTGGTGGTCGACAGAGCTTCGAGTCTAGTGAATGGGAGTGGCGTGGAGGAGGAAGAGGCGTAGGGCAGGGAGATGGGGAGGTGGAGAGGGGTGGTTTCAGGGGTGTGGGCAGAGAGGAGGAGGAGGAGGAGGAGGAGGAGGAGGAGGAGGAGGAGGAGGAGGAGGAGGAGGAGGAGGAGGAGGAGGAGGAGGAGGAGGAGGAGGAGGAAGGTGAGGAGGGAGGAGGAGGAGGGGGGTTCACAGAAGTGTTTCAGCAGAGAATGTTGGCTCGTAAGGTGAAACCCTCCCTTGGGGCTGGGAGGCAGCAAGGGATTTTTGAGAGAAACAGTGCGTGTGATGAGAGTGCTTATAACGAGAGTTATCACAACATGAGTGACGGGGATGCTGACCAGGAGAGTGTTTATAATGGGAGTGCTTATAATGAGGGCGCTTATAACGTCGCTGGTAGTGAGCTGGAGGAACGAGGGATGGGCTTACCGTCAGGGTCTGGGGCTCGTAACGGATTGCCTTTTGCTGATAATCGGTTCTGTGAGGTTTCAAGCGGTTTGGGCGGTTCTGGTGCGATATCAAGTGGTGCAGAGGATTCCGGTCGTGCTTTGGGGGGTGCTGCTCCTCCCCCTGCTTCTGCCTTCGGCCCTCCTCAACTTGCCATCGACCCTTCAATTCCTGTTGCCGGCTTTCCCGGTGCTCCTGGGTTGGGGGGAGCGCCTGGGTTGGGGGGAGCGCCTGGGTTGGGAGGCGCTTCTCTGTTGGGGGGAGCCCCTCTTTTAGGGGGAGCTCCTTCCTTTCCAGCATTCGGTCCTGGGAATGGTTTCGGTGGGGGGAATGGTTTTGGTGCTGGTGCTGGTTTTGGTGCTGGTGCTGGTTTCGGTGCAGGCAGTGGTTTAGCCAGGGGTATTGCCTCACACACACCCGGATCCAATGCTTTCGCCTCTGCAGCTCTTAACATCGCTGCTGCAGCAGCAGGCCGACCCCCCCCCAAACACACTCCTCACCTTGCCACCCTCCCGCCTGCCTCTGCTGCCGATGCTGCTGCCGATGCTTCCGCGGCCGCGGCTGCTGCCGCTGCTTTTGCTGGTTCGAAACCCGGTCGGAGGGATGGTGTGGCAAATGGTGGTGGATACGGTGGAAATGGTGGTGGGTACGGTGCAAATGGTGGTGGGTACGGTGGAAATGGTTGGGTGCACGGGGGTGTGGCAGCAGCAAGAGCAGGAGGGGCAGGAGCAGGAGGACCAGCAGGCGGGGCAGCAGTGCCTGCAGCAGGGCATGGTCAAGAAAAAAAGGTAAGGCATGATGCTAGATAAATACCTATATGGCACCAGTCGGGTGTATTTCTAACTTGCTGCTCTGCCTGCTCCTGATGGTTTTTGAGAATTCTGAAAATCAACTTGCAACGAGGTAGGTCAGCAGGCTGACAGTGCCAGTAGGGTGTTTTCAATTAACTAGGACTATGCATGCTCCTTCTGGCACCATTAGGGGTGTTGAATTGGTTTCTCTGGCTCTTCCTGCCTGCCCGCGTCTGTGTATATGTTGGTGTCATGCCCTTCCTCTCATACCCTATCCTTGGCTCAGGTAGCTCTGGTAGGAAGGCAATTTTTGAGGCGTGTAAAAGATTGAGACGTTTTTTTAGGCGCCTCAAAAATTGTATGCGGCAGATGGAGCAGGTAGCTTTGGTAGGAGGAAACGACTGGTCCATCTGCATTTGAAGCTGCTTTTTCCCGTCATATGCATTTTCGCCGTATCTGTTCTCCTGCACTTGTTCTTATCTTATTTGAGTGATGCGCTTGTGCGTGCCTTCCCAGTTTATTTCGGCGTCCTTTTGTGTGCTCTGCTCTCAACCCATTGTGTGCCCACTGCATTCGACCCTTTCTCATTTTTTTACCCTTTTTCCTTTTCAGAATGTTTCGGGTTTTATCAACAAGCTTTGGAAAAGGTAAAACCCACCACAATTGTCACGTACATTTGCATCAGTGTCTGCACTTTTAGTTATAGGGTACTTCAATTCCCTGTCTTAAGGTTTTCTAGACGTTATTAGAGAATAGCCTCGTTCAGCTGAACACATTTTACTGGGTTGGTTTGAGTGTAGTTTACGTTGTATTGTCCCCGCTTGGCTTTTCCCTTTACATATAAAGGTAAAACCCACCACAAGTGACATACGGTCATGTATCATGCTACAACTGAGAACTTTCGTGACCAATCAAATTTGCTTTCTCAGATGTTGGTCCCGAGTCTACCTGTCAATGGAATGACGTGTTCCCCAAGGCTGTTATGGAACAAATTGAGATTCCCGTACAGCACCTTGCGACCAACCGTCAGCTTTCCCTACATTTGCCTGCTAGTGTAGCTTGATCTCCTTTCGCCAGCCCTACCGCCAAAGCAATTTGCACTCTTTGCAGTTTTGAACCGAACTCCACCGACTATAGACTGCAAAAGAGGTTGAAGCACCCGAACAAGGAACGCGTGCTTCTCACGGCTCCGCTTCCGTTGGTTTCCAGCTTTCGTTTCAGTCATCCGGCCCAAATATCCAACAGTGGGATGAGTGAGTGGTATTCACCGCTTCAGACCATTGCGCATCCAACTGGACCTTAGAAAGTCAGCTGTAAACCAACGAAAATGACCCGCCTGATCCGCTATCACTCTGCTTCTGCCCTCTCTGCTTCTCCCAATCCGCATTATCCAGCGCTTCTGCTAGTTCCGTCTGTCCTCTCCCTTTTGGAACAATGCAGTGGTTACATCCTTCCGTTTAGTAGCTCATTTTTCTCTCTTCCCCCATTCGAGGATGCGCTGCTTGATTCCACGAGCAGTCTCGCCGATAACTTTATCCCTTTCGTCCACTGATCTCCACGCGTGAGCTGCTTGCTTACAGCAACGTGGCCACAGTCTCGTTCTCATTTGTTCCAACCTTCGACAAAACACGTTCTTTGAAGAGCTTTTTCCTTTACGTCTACAGCCGCGTGTGATTCCCTGACAAAGCCATGGACGATGATGCTAGAAGGATCGGTTCCAGTGAAAGCTCCGAGTCATTCAACCACGCCAGCAGTAAAAAGGGAGGCATTGTTATAAAGAATCTTCTCAAAGGAAAGGTAAGTTTTTTTGTCAAAAGAAATCATAGCAACAGCGACAGCTGTGAGTAATAAGAGCGAGAATAACGAGACGAAAGAGCGACGATGGGATAGAAGAGCGCCAATAACGAGATAGAAAGAGCGACGATAATGAGATAGAAAGAGCGACAATAACGCAATAGAAGAGCGACAAATGCGAGATAGATGATCGAAAATGGTGAGTTAGTAGAGCGACAACAATGAGAGATGGAAGAGCGACGATAATGAGATACAAGAGCGAGAGTATGAGATAGAGCGACAATAATGAGACTGAAGAGCGACGATGATGAGATTGGATGAGCGACAACTATGGGACTGAAGAGCGAAAATACTGAGGTGGTCGACCAACAAAGAATACTACATTTTTGCCTTATTTATCATCCTGGTTCAAATTTTATCTCGTCTTTCGTAACTGCTTCATTTCATGACCTCCCTGTTCCGTTTTTGCCGTTGTTGCAAGTATCACGTAGCGCTCTTATTTTCTTGGCTTCCGACCCTTTTTTTTCTCTCTTTTTTCTAGTTGCTTGATTTATTGACTTGGTGTCTCCTTTCCACAAATCCATCTTTCTTTCAATCTCTCGGTATTGTCATTGTCCCTCCACCCTGATTCCTTCTCCTTCCCCCACCCCTCCTTCCCCTCCCCTTTTCTGCCTCCCGTCTCTTCCAACTTTCCTCCCCACTTTCCCCTTCCGCTCCCCCTTTCCGCCTTCCCCCTCCGCTGCTCTCAGGCTTCCGCCGCTAGCGTGGCCCTCCCCTCCTTCGGCGATTGGCAAACCAAACCCTCCGCCATTCCCGCTCCAGCTCCTGGAAATAGCAGCGCAGGCGCGCCAAACGGGGCTGCTCATAACGGGGATGAGGTCGGCGGCGTATACACTAAAGTATTTACAAGGAAGGCCGACGAGCGAGCTGCACGCCACGGGACTCCCTTAACGCCTGAGTCCAGTCTGGGACGTCAAGGGTCAGGGGCTAGCCATCAATCGTCTGGAGGTGACTCGGGAAGGGGACGGGTACAGTATGCGCAGGGGATGCAGTACGGTGAGAGCCCTCTGCAGTACGGTGAGAGCCCTCCGCAGTACGGTGAGAGGCCCCAGCAATATGGTGAGAGGCCTCTGCAGTACGATGAGAGCCCTCTGCAGTACGGTGAGAGGGCTCAGCAGTACGGTGTGCGACCGCAGCCGTCAGGGATCAGCCGGCAGTCATCAGGTGATAGCGTGCTGTCGTCAGGGTCGAACCGGCAGGTGTACGGAATTGACCAGAGGCCGTCCCGAATCAGCCAGCAGCCATCAGTAATTAGCCGGCAGTCGTCAGGTGATAGCGTGCTGTTGTCAGGGTCAAACCAACAGGTGTTCATTATTGGCGGGCAGCCATCAGGAATCAACCAGCAGCCGTCAGGAATCAGCCAGCAGCCGTCAGGACTCAGCCAGCAGTCGTCAGGGGCGGGCCTGCAGTCGTATGGGGTAGCATGGCGAAAGCCAGGGGAGTCGATTGTGGGTTTGAATGAAAGGCTTCAGCAAGAGCAACAATATCAACAACGGCAACAGCAGCTGCTGGCTTACCAGGAGCAACAGCATCAGCTGGTTTATCAGCAGCAACAGCCACAACAACTTGTTTACCAGCAGCAACAGCCGCAGCAACTGTCTTATCAGCAGCAACAGCCGCAGCAACTGTCTTATCAGCAGCAACAGCTGCAACAACTGCCTTATCAACAGCAACAGCCCCAACAACTGGATTATCAGCAGCAGCAGCCGCAACAACTGACGTATCAGCAGCAACAGCCACAACAACTGCCTTATCAGCAGCAACAACCGCAACAACTGCCTTATCAACAGCAACAGCAACAACTGTCTTATCAGCAGCAACAACTGCAACAACTGCCTTATCAGCAGCAACAGCCGCAACAACTGGCTTATCAGCAGCAACACCAGCAGCATCCGCAACAATTGGTTACCTTTAGTTGCAGCAACAGCAATCAGCAGCAACAGCAGCAGCTGGCGCGTCAGCAGCACCAGCACAATCATCAGCAGCCGCAACCAATGCTCGGTCAAATTGGGCGAGAAATGGGTATGGGAGGGAGGTTTGGGGGGGCTCTAGCACCCACATTCAGTGGCAGCAGCAGCAATCAGCAGCAACAGCTGGCGCATCAGCAGCAGCCACAATCAATGGATGGTGAAATCAGGCAAGAAATGCGGGCGGGAGGGAGCTTTGGCGGGGCTCTAGCACCCACCTTCAGCAGCAGCACGAGCACCACGGACGATGATGATAGCGGGGCTGTAGCACCAATGGCAGCAGCGGTGCCAGCAGCAATGCCAGCAGCAGTGGCAGCTACACCGGCAGCGCCAGCAGCACTACTGTTAGAACCAGTGGCAGCAGCAGGAGGGATGCCAACTATGCAGGAGCTGCAGGAGCTGCAGCTGCAACTGCTGGAACAGATACAACTGGTGGAACAGCTGAAGCGCTTACATCTCGTTCGGGGTAGCCAAAATGCCCTCCCTATTGCCCTTACACCAGTGGCTGCTGCTCCTGCTACCCCTGGTGCCGCTTTTGCTGCCATTTCTGATGCACCAGTAGCAGCAGAATTAGCAGCAACAAATGCTGCTTTTACAGCAGCGTTGGCTCCTGCTGCTTTTGTTGCCGCTGCTACTGCTGCCCCTTTTGTTGCCGCTGCTACTGCTGCCCCTTTTGTTGCCGCTGCTCCTGCTGCCCCTTTTGTTGCCGCTGCTCCTTTACCTGCTTCCCCTGCCCATCAACCTGCTTCCCCTGCCCATCAACCTGCTTCCCCTGCCCATCAACCTGCTTCCCCTGCCCATCAACCTGCTTCCCCTGCCCATCAACCTGCTTCCCCTGCCCATCAACCTGCTTCCCCTGCCCATCAGCCTGCTTCCCCTGCCCGTCAACCTTCTTGCCCTGCCCATCAACCTGATTCCCCTGTCCATCAACCTGTTTCCCCTGCCCGGCAACCTGTTTCCCCTGTACATCAACCTGTTTCCCCTGCCCGTCAACCTTCTTCCCCTGCCCATCAACCTGATTCCCCTGTCCATCAACCTGTTTCCCCTGCCCGACAACCTGCTTCCCTTGCCCGACAACCTGCTTCGCGTACCCGTCGACCTCCTTCCTCTCTCCATCTACCTTCTTCCCCTGGCCATCCACCTGCTTCCCCTACCCATCTGTCTGCTTCTCGTGCCCATCAATCTGCTTCCCCTGCACGTCAACATTCTTCCCCTGCCCGTCCACCTGTTTCCCCTGCCCGTCTGCCTGCTTCCCCTCTCCATCTACCTGCTTCCCCTTCCTATCAGTCTGCTTCCCCTGCCCGTCCACCTGCTTCCCCTGCCCGCCCACCTGCTTCTCCTGCCCGTCTACCTGACTCCCCTGCCCGTCAACCTGCTTCCCCTTGCCGCCAACCTGCTTTCCCTGCCCGTCAACCTGCTTCCCCTGGAGAGGAGGAAGAATACGAGATACCACCGTTGGAGAAGTGGAGAGCCCATGTGCTCAGAATGATTCCTACGTTGAGTGAAGGAGAGGGAGAGGAGGAGATGGGGCATCTGGGATCACCAGCACCAGCAGCACCACCAGCACCAGAAGCACTGGCAGCACCAGCTTTTGTGTATTTCGAGGCACCTGAGAATGCACCTGAAGATGCACCTGATGCAGCGGTGGGGTCTGGTTTGGGGTACCATGTGGCAGCAACCCCAGAGGCAGGTCCAGGAGGCATGGAAGCAGCAGTGGGAGAAGAAGAATTTCCATGTTCAGGTACAAATTCAGGTGCATATTCAGGTAGATATTCAGGTGTTGGTGGTTCCGGGTATTTTGAATCAGGTGAAAGTGAAAGTGACTCACCGGGAGCAGCAGCAGCTGGAGTAGCTGGCATCAGAGCAGGAGGTTGGACGGAGGAGGAGCCACTTGACTCTCTCACAGCAGATCTAGCTGCTCCTGGTCTAGCTTCCGCTGCTGCTGCTGCTGCTCCAGGAGGTGGGAAGGGGGAGGATGAAGAGGCATCTCTTACGGAAGATCTAGCTGCTGTTAGTATTCTTGCCCGTGCTGGTGGTGGTGGTGCTGCGGCTGCTCGTGCTGGTGCTGGTGCTGGTGCTGGTGCTGGTGCTGGTGCTGGTGCTGCTGGGACTGCTGCTGCTGGTGATGATGCTTGTGCTCCTTCTCGTGCTGGTTCTGATGCGGCTGCTGCTGCTGCTGCTGCTGCTGCTGCTGCTAGTGCTGCTGCTTCTGGTGCTACTACTGCTGCTGGTGCTGCTGCATCTACCAGTGCTTCCAGTAGCAATGCTTCGGCGCAAGCCAAGTCAAAGAAATCGGGACCGCATGGTCTTTTCAATTTTATCTTAGGGAGGGGAAAAGGAGGGCGAGAGGGTGGGAAGGCGAAGGGAGGGGAGCAGGGGGGCGAGAAGGAAGATGATGAAAGGAATATCACGGCTATGTATGATCAGAAATCATTGGATCGAAAGAAAGAAGGGATGGGGTTACAAGCTGTGCGTGGGGCGGGTGAGAGGTCACCTGATGCTGCTATTGAAGGAGGGCGAGGGGGCGGGAAGGCGAAGGGAAGGGAGCAGGAGGGCAAGAAGGACTATGAGGAAACGAATATCACGGCTTATAATGACCGGAAGTCATTGGATCGAAAGAAAGAAGGGATGGGGTTGCAAGCTGTGCGTGGGGCGGGTGAGAGGTCACCTGATGCTGCTATTGAAGGAGGGCGAGGGGTCGGGAAGGCGAAGGGAGGGGAGCAGGGGGGCAAGAAGGAAGATGAGGAAAGGAATATCACGGCTATGTATGATCGGAAATTGTTGGATCGGAAAAAATAAGGGATGGGGTTGTAAGCTGTGCGTGGGGCGGGTGAGATATCACCTGCTGCTGCTATTTGATCCAGTCAGGTTCCAAGCGATTCGGGTGGTGCTGGTGCTGTATCAGACGGTGCGGTATCAGGCGGTGCGGTATCAGGCGGTGCGGTATCAGGTATCTGACCATGCTTTAGGGGTTGCGGCTCCTGCCCCTGCCTCTGCCTTCAGCACACCTCACCTTGTCTTCAGCCCTCCTCACCTTGTTCTCAGCCCTCTTCACCTTGCCTTCAGCCCTCCTCACCTTGCCTTCGGCCCGTCTATTCCCGTTGCTGGCTTTCCTGGTGCTCCTCTGCTGGGCGGCACTCCTCTGCTGGGCGGCACTCCTCCACTGCGCGGTGCTACTCTGATGGGCGGCCCTCCTGGGGAGGAGATAGCAAGTGCAGCCAATATTATCCTTAAGAGGAGTGAACCTGCTTGGAAGGGAAGGGGAGGAGGGGGCCAGGTGTGGTCAGGAATATTAAGATACATAGGTTGTGAGGCGTGGTCAAGAATAAGATAGGTCGTCAGGCATGTTGGAAACAATAAGTCCTAAGTACGCTTCTGTCGTATCAAAATCCAAGGTACCAAGCGAAGCAGTCCCAATCGAAGCATCGAGTCAACCTCGGAGGTTAGGGTAACCGCCTGGAGGTTACGAGAAAGTCAAAGGTCGCTGACCTTTGACTCGACAATTACAGCGCGACAGTTAAGGACACACAACTGACTCGTTACAGAGCAGTTGCCCGAGTCGCGCTATATCGAACCGCAACAGCAATACAGTTATCTATCTATTCTCTGTACTCTTATATAAATCCTTGTATTTGCTTGTTTAATTCAATCAACTTTGCTCTCACACACCAGTGCAAGGTCGGTTCAAATTCTTCACTAAACGCTTCCGCTATTACAACTACTTCACCTAGAGTTATCCCTTGCAAAGATCCTAAGGGGCTATCTCAGCCCAACATGGTATGAGAGCGGACAAGGGAAACTCTACTCTTTTTTTTAAAGATCATTACAAGACATGGCAACAAACAAGGAAAGGAGCTCCCCTAATGGCTCCTCGGGCACTACTCCTACTCCACCGCCAGCCTCTGGCCTGCAGACAGAAGAAGGCACGGCAACAAGACCAAGAGGAACGTCAACCGAGACCCCCATGAACCACCCTTCGGACTTTGACCAGAACATGATGGAGAAATTTTTCTCCTTCATGTCCTTCTACGAACAACACCAGCAGTCGGGACCTGCACAAACACACAACAGCAACAACGGAGCGACACCCATGAGTCTTGATGGGTCGTCATATGCGCGAGGAAACCAGCAGCAGCAACCTACCTTTGCTCCGTACGAGCGCGGGTCGATCAGCTTCGTGCCCCACCCGCAACCTTCACCTGGACAAGAAAGACCACTGGACGCACTTCAAGTTCAGTCGCAGTTTGCACACGTCTTAAAACTGCAAACGTCAAGACCCTTCGACGGCAAAGACTTCTTTACCTGGTCCTTTGAATTCGAGCTGATGATGGAGGGCGCGCAGATACTCGGCTTCTTCGACGGGTCCTTGCAGTATCCAGCCAACGGGACACAATATGAAAAGCAGCAGTATACGTATCAATCAATGATGGCGTATACAATCCTATTGAGGAACGTGACACCAACTCAGCAGCAGAACATTCGCTCTTACCGGACCTTCGGCAACTCGGCGGAGCTCGCGTACAGCCATCTGAAGAACCTGTATCAAGCAACAGACAGTGTAAACCAGAGCAGGTTAATGGCGCAGTTGACGACAGTCGAAATGAAACCAGGAGAAAAAGGACTGGCGTATATCAGCCGATGTCGCGAACTGCGCGACAAGCTGCTTCGATGCGGAGGGTCAATCTCTGAAGACGCCTTCGTGACAGTCATCATTGGTGGGCTTGGTCCTCAGTGGCGCGCCACCAAAGCCATTCTTCGAGCCCACGGAAGAATCTCTGAAGCTGCACTCTGCGCCGAAATACATGCCGAGCAGCAAGATATGGACCTGCAGGAAGAACGACACAGGAAGAAAACGACAGTATCAGAGTTCGCATTCCACACTCAACGACGACACAGCAATTATAACAACCGACAGCAGCAACCGAAGATAGTACCTCCCTTCTGCCACATCTGCAAGACTTCAGGGCACCCGCGCACACACTGCCCGAATCGTCAGCAATCAACGGCACCACAGCGACAACTTCGACCTTCAAGCTCCCAAATGGCTTCAACACAAGCAAGTGCGACAACCACTATTCAAGCTTCAACGACTTCACCCGGACAACCTGCACAAGGAGCAAGAAATATAATCCACTGCATGACGAAGATAACCGATTCGTGTACAACCGAATCACCACCACACTACTCACCGGAAGAAGAGCTTGACAACAGAACGCCTCGCCGTGAACTACTCCAGCCGAATCCAACGTACGCCGCCATCGCTCAAAGTGAACCGTCCGGCCAAGACACCTGGTTCTTGGACAGTTGCTGCGGGCAACACATGTGCTCGTCCGGGCGTTTCGTACAACGCGAACATCGACTCCAACGGGAAGTGATCATCACGGTTGCCAACAACCAAAACCTACGCACACGAAGACAAGGAGTGGTACAGCTTCAGTCAAGAGAAACAAATGTCATACTGCACATGTCTAAGGTACTCATCGCTGAAGGACTCGGCTACAACTTACTGAGCGTTAGCCAGTTGATGGCGAAAGGAATTCATCTGGAAGCCGACAGCACGACCCAGGAGTTCAAGCTTTACCACGGGAGAGGCGGTCTCTACATCGGAAAAGCAGTGCTGAAGAACGTCTTCGTCCTCGACTTCGTTCCTGACCTCGGCACTGCAGAAAGCGACGCCATCGTGAATTTCACTGACTGGACACACCCTCCGGATCTCGACCCCGACTTCAGCCCGGGAGGCTTCTGGTACTCGCACACCATTCCTGAAGCAGAACGAACACGAGCATTAGCAACAATTCGACAATCGGCATCAGCAGCAACAACATCGGCAGCAGTAACAACATCGGCAGCAGCAACAACATCAGCAGCAGCAGAAACAACGACACCAGTCACAGTCGACGAAGCACCACCAACACCCGCGCAACACCTGAATCCGACTCAACGTGAAGTCCACCGAAGCGCCAACCTCGTCGCCAGCTTTTACTCCAACTCCGACGCATATCAGCGTTCACCTGGACACCGCGCCTCTGAAGAGATCTGGCACGCACGCACAGGACATCCAAGCAACACGGTTTTGAATAACACGATAAGAGCAGGAGTCCTCGACAAAGACTCTCTACTTCTACCCGATGGCAGAGAACTCCAGAAGGCACGAGGGACTTGCCTTATATGTCCCGAAGCTGACTTACCTCATCGACCGTTTGCTTCACATCACAACCCGAGCGCTCCAGCGTACGCACCACTCGAAAAAGTCTACAGCGACATCCTCTACAATCGCGAACCAGGACAAGTCAACTACAACTACACCATCACCTTCATCGACGCCGCCACTCGATACGTCTGGCATCGCAACCTACCCAGCCGCGACATGGCGCTCGCAGCATTCGCCGCCTGGCTACCGATAGCAGAGAGAGAGTCTGGAACACAACTGAAAAATTTCCAGTCAGACGGAGGTGGCGAGTACACCTCTCACCGCTTCAAGCAGTTCTTGGCGGAAAGGGGGATCAAGCAACTCCTCTCCCTTCCCTACGCACATCAGCAGCAAGGTGTTGCAGAACGACTGAACAGGACCCTGCAGAACAGCATGCGCAAACTGTTACGTGGCATGCGGCTACCCAACCACCAGTGGCCAGCAGCAATGGACCACGCTGTCATGCTGCACAACTTGTTGTCGTCGTCGTCACTCCCGAACAACGCATCACCGCATCTGCTGTGGACAGGGAAGCAGGGCAGCACAAAAATGTTACGAGTTTTCGGGTGCATGGTACAGTACAGACCCCCAGAAGCACGAGCGGGAAGATTTTCGCAACGGGCACAGTGGGGACTACACCTCGGCATCGAGAAAAATTACAACGCATGGAGAATCTTCGACGTCCACACAAAGGAAACAGTAGCAGCACGTGACGTGATCTTCTACGAAAGACTCACCCTTCAGACGTACCTCGCCAACTTGCACGAGAATCGGGACCTCACCAGTGGTTTTCGTGGTGACCGAGCCTTCGCGTCAGCAGCGGATGAAGCAGACTGGGACGAGCAGAATGTTGACAACGCATCGGCAGAAGCCGGACCTCTCCCGTACTGCTCCGTCAACGTGCCCATGGACGAAGAAAATCCTCGCGACAGTAACAACGCCGAAGTCTTCTACCACTTCGCCGACACCGGTTACGTAACACCTGCAACCGTCAACACAAATGAAGCAGAAAGGATAGGACCGAATTTCATCCCTGATCCAGAAGCGGGAGACGAAGCAGCTTATCCCGAGGATCCAGAACTCCCTCGATACTCACAGACTGGGCTGCAAATCCTCGGCCTCGTCACCGCAGTCCACGGGAACACACGCAGCTCGCTTCCTAAGGAGCCTGCAACGGTTCAGCAGGCTCTGGGGGGGGAACACAGGGAGAAATGGCGTGAAGCCATGGATAGAGAACTGAAGGCATTAGAGGAACGCAACACTTGGAAGGTTGTTCCCGTAAGCGTGGCACGGAACAAAACCATCCTTACCGGGAAATGGGTCTTCCGCATCAAGACGAAAGCAGACGGCACGATCGAAAAATTCAAAGCACGCTGGGTCGTACGTGGATTCGACCAAGAGCAAGGACGAGACTTCACCGAGACCTTTGCTCCAGTCAGCCGCCACACGTCACTCCGAATTCTCCTCGCCATTGCCGCCATGAAGAAGAAGAAGTTACGGCGAATCGACGTCGCGAATGCCTTCCTCTACGCACCTGTGGATGCAGAAATCTACGTCGAGCTCCCGCACGGTTCCCACGGCGATCCCAACCGAATCTGTCAACTACTTAAGTTGCTCTACGGGATCAAGCAGGCACCGCGACTGTGGCAGCAGTACCTGCACGCCCGTCTCATCCGCATCGGCTTTAGTCAACTACCTCACGACCAAGGCATGTACCGCCTCACTAAGGGAAGCGACTACGTTCTCCTGATCGTCTACGTGGACGATCTTCTCTACATTGGGTCAACCGACGGCATCGCCACGTGGTTCGAAGAAGAGCTCCAGAAAGACCTCACGCTCACGGTCTCCTCCACCGTTACACAGTACCTCGGGCTCAACATCCGCGAAGAAGAAAACGCCATCTATCTAAGCGCCGAGAAATACGCCGACACCATCGCGAAACGGTTCAGCCTCACACCAAGCGCCATCTCCACGCCTTACCGCTACACATCAGGAACCGAGAAGGAACGAACTACTCTACTCAAGCCCGCCGGCATACGCGACTATCAGAAGAAGCTCGGATGCCTGCTATTCGCCGCCGTCACCTGCCGTCCTGACTTATCCTACTCCGCAAGTCAGCTCGCCACCTATCTCAAGAAGCCTGAAGCTGAACACCTGGCGGAACTTGATCGCGCTCTCCACTACTTCGTCAGCACCGCGACGATCGGGCTAACCTACCACAAGAGCGCAGCTACACCGACTAAGCTAATCGGCTACGTCGACGCCGATCACGCCGGCGACACCGACAACAGGCGCTCACGCACCGGCTATGTCTACCGCCTTGAGCCTATCGGTCCTATCTCCTGGCAGTCGAGCAAGCAAGAGTTAATCGCACTATCTTCAGCAGAAGCAGAATATATTGCACTCTGCTCAGCCACCAAGGAGGGACTTTACCTTCGCGAACTACTGGAAGAAGCGAAGCTAGCCGAGTTACCCAGCTTCACCGTGTTCTGCGACAACCAGTCAGCAATTCGCATCGCCAACAAAAACGGCTTCGCAAACAGGACGAAACACATCGCCCTGCGCTATTTCTTCGTGAAGGACGAGATAGAAAAAGGGAAACTCGATCTGTCATACTGTCCAACATCCGAGATGGCACCCGATTACTTGACCAAGAAACTCGGCAAGCAGAAGTTCGAATAGTGGATGATGCTGACTGGACAAGGCCACGTCACCAGCAGTAACACTCCAGAAGCGAAGGGGAGTGTTGGAAACAATAAGTCCTAAGTACGCTTCTGTCGTATCAAAATCCAAGGTACCAAGCGAAGCAGTCCCAATCGAAGCATCGAGTCAACCTCGGAGGTTAGGGTAACCGCCTGGAGGTTACGAGAAAGTCAAAGGTCGCTGACCTTTGACTCGACAATTACAGCGCGACAGTTAAGGACACACAACTGACTCGTTACAGAGCAGTTGCCCGAGTCGCGCTATATCGAACCGCAACAGCAATACAGTTATCTATCTATTCTCTGTACTCTTATATAAATCCTTGTATTTGCTTGTTTAATTCAATCAACTTTGCTCTCACACACCAGTGCAAGGTCGGTTCAAATTCTTCACTAAACGCTTCCGCTATTACAACTACTTCACATAGAGTTATCCCTTGCAAAGATCCTAAGGGGCTATCTCAGCCCAACAAGGCATACAATCAGGTGCATCGGTGCGTGCGTCTTCTCCCGCTGTCTCCTCTCTTCAGCAAAATCTGATGGAAAAAAAAAAAAAAAAAATCTCATGGTCGTAACAGTTAACCACACAGCGTATGGCATGCTGAACTAGCATGTGAACTAATTGTAGTATATCGAAGCCCTTCCGCTGTAAAAGCATTTGAAGCAACCCAGTTCCATGCACTTGACACTTCTGTATCGAGAATATCATGAGATGCTTTCTGACGCGCGCTGCGGCAGGCGTTTTCAAACCAGCGCGGGAGACATTTGACCCTGCCACATGCCGAACTGAACAGATTCTCTGACGCATCACGGTGAGGTGCGCCCATCGCACGGTCCGGGCAGAGTGCAAAACTTCAAAACAGAGCCTGGTGTGGGTAGATGTCTTTTAGGGATACTTGAGGACGGAATTTGAAATTGGTGGCAAACTCTGCAGCCAACCGACTGCTGGGGCTTGGACAGCCCCTGATAAACTTCTCTCGGTTCTGTCTGATGTGTTGCGTTTCAACGCGGTTTTGTAATGAACCATACAGAACCGTGAGGAATCTAATCAAACAGCTCAAAAAGCAGACACGCTGCTAGCTGGCAAATGCATCAATCATCCATAACTCGACAATCGCTGAGTTTTCTGATGCTCCCCGAGTTTCATGATTTTCGCGGAAAGCAGCGGCAATCTCTGAGGTGTTTTTGCTGGGACCAGCGATGCTTTCTGAGACCAAAGAAGTGTATGTTCGATGTGATGTGGACCGTCGATTCTCCCATCATTTGTGTGCCTGAATTTCGGAGATGAAATTCCAAGGTGATGTAATCACTGTGATGCGCTGACTCACTGGGCATTTCACGGAGATTATCAGGTTCTTCTAAGGCGAGCTCTGGTAGTCTCCGAGCAACTCGTTAGGCCGTTTCAATCAAGCTCGGCTCGCTTGTTCCTCCTCCTCGTACCCTCCAGGAACAAGAGCTGGAGTCTCCGAGATTCAACGCTAATTATTTATTTACAGAACTAGGCGGAAGTCTGGCTGTCGGATGCTAAGTCAACTTGCGTCGCGAGGCTTTCCAAGGCAGTTGGATTATTTTCCCAGTATCGCGAATTATAGTGGGGAAAGTAAGATTCCAGCGATTTCAAATCTCTGGAGTTGGTGCGCGATGCCGGCCGAGTTTTGGTCCATCTAGCGTCGATACGACCACGTACTTATCAGCGGTTTGACTGGAGCGAGCAACCATGGCTCAGCGAGCGGGCTGGTTCTCGTCAGAGCACAAGTCGAAGCATCTGCTCGCGACGATCAAGGAGAAGGATGGCGAGATTGAGAACCTTCACACGACCATCGATTCCCTTCACCAGGTACAACACAATCCAGGTGGTTTCTGAGTCGATAATAATGGCATCTGCTCGCGACGATTAAGGATAAGGATGGCGAGCGAGGGCCTTCGCAAGACCATCAATCCCCTTTATCGGACATGGAAATCCCTTCGCTTCTTGAAGAATCCTGTCCAGGTGATTTTATCCAGTCGACTTAAAAGCGTCCTCAGTGCCTCACGGCTTTCACAAGACCATCGGTTTTATCACCAGGTATAACTAGGTGAATTTTGACTCGATTCAAAAGGCACTTCCATCTTCCAACAGCGTCGTTTCTGTTTATTTTACGCATAATCGATTCGCTCGAGAACTTGTAACTTGTAACTGCTCAGTGCTCGTTCAGAATTTTGAAATCGATAATGAGATATCCGTCATTACATTTTGAGCTACGTCTGAGGACCTGATTGGTTGGACGACCCAACGCGAACACGCCAAAACAGTCCTAACGCCTTTTCTTGTGTGCGTGTTTCTCCCTGCAGGAACTGGAGAATGAAAAGTCGGATAAGCGATCCATGACTCAGGTAAGGCCCGGACCCATCCCTTTCATTCCAGGTTTGTTACACCCGCTTCCCAATCCCGCTCCCTGCTTTCCTCCGGTTTACGATGCACAAACCAGTCTCGTATACGTTTCTCCCTTTAAGCCAGTAGGCAAAATTGTGATCCCTCCTCATGCTCCCTCAATTTCCGGCAACTCTCCGTCATCTCACCTCGTGCTCCGTCTCTCGCCCTTGACACTTTCGGCTCGCTGCAGGATTTCAAGCGACTAGCCGACACGGTGAAGCAGCTTCACCATGACTCAACCGTCAGAACCAAGGTAAGCCATGGCTCGTTGCGGTGCAGCGATGTTCTGCCCGGTTACGTCTTACAATGACGCGTTACACAGAAATTATCACATGCGTTTTTGACCTCGTAACCACTCCTTCCCCGAAGCACTCCTTCTTGCCTTGTTCCTCCACAGGAGAAGCGTCTATGGAGCGAGAACGGGTGCGACTGCAGGAGAAAGATCAGAAGGCGGAGCGGAAGGGGCTTGCGTGTGATCGTCTGCTCCTTTCTCACAGCATGTGTGTTACTCCTTGCTAGCACCTTGCCCCTCCAGGAGAAAGCGTCCATCGAGCGAGAGCGGGTGCGGCTGCAGGAGAAAGTTCTGAAGGCGGAGAGGAAAGGGCTTACGTGTGCTCGTCTGCTCGTGGCTCACAGCACGTGTGTTTACTCCTTGCTCGCACCTTGCCCACCCAGGAGAAAGCGTCCATCGAGCGAGAGAGGGTGCGGCTGCAGGAGAAAACGCAGAAGTCGGAAAGGAAGGGACTTGGATATGCGCATCTGCTCCTTGCCCATGTGTTTCCGTTTTCCGCCTCCCCCTGGACAGGAGAAAGCGTCCATCGAGCGGGAAAGGGTGCGGCTGCAGGAGAAAGTGCAGAAGGCGGAAAGGGAGGCGCAGTTGCTGCGAGGGAGAGTGAGCGAGCTGGAAGATCAGGTGCTGGCGCAGGAGCAGGAGCTGCAGGAAGCCACCTACCGCATGGAGAAGGTGAGGGATGGGGCAGGTAGGAGAAAGTGCAGGTGCATGGAAAATAAAGTGGTTTGAAGGAGAAAGTGGGCTAGCTGGAGGAGCAGGTGCAGCCGAGCAGGAGCTGCAGGGCGCAGCCTACCGCATGGAAAAGGTGAGGCGTGGAGCAGGTGGGAACAGAGGCATGGAGCAGGTAGGAGCAGGCATGGAGGATGAGAGGTTTGAGCGAGTGGGTGGGCGGGCTGGAAGAGCAGGTGCTGGCGCAGGAGCAGGAGCTGCGGGATGCAACCTACCGCATGGAAAAGGTGAGGTGTGGGGGACGCGCGAACAGGTGGCAGTGGAAGCCTAGGAGCACAGAGGAGAGCTCGGCAGGCAGATTGGGCGAGCTGGAAGGGCAGGTGCAGGCGCAGGCGCAGGAGCAGGAGCTGCGGGATGCAACGTACCGCATGGAGAAGGTGAGGCGTGGGGGACGCGCACGGCAAATGGCGCAGTGGAAGCCGCGTGAGAAGTGAAGGAAGGGGGATTCGCGCGTTGGTTGCTCTTCCTTCAACTGAGTGCGCATTGCGCGTTGGCTGTGCAGGCTGTGCGGGAGGAGGAGCGGAAGAGCGTGGAGATTCAGCGGAGGCTGGGCGAGGAGTATCAGGCGGCCATGGACGGCCAGAACCGGCTGCAGGCCATGTGAGTGGATCTATTAGCGTTTAGTGGATCTGTTAGCGTTTAGTGTATAAGGCTGCCATGTCAGAGGTTGGGGCTTGGAGGCTGGGCGAGGAGTATCAGGCGCCCATGGACGGGCAGAACCGGCTGCAGGCCATGTGAGTGGCGCTGTCTTTCGCCTTTGAAGTGGCTCTGTCTTTTGGCTCTGTCATTCCAGAGTCACCTCCGAGGGGTGAGGCTGGGGGAGGAGTATCAGGCTGCCAGGGACGCCCAGAACCGCCTGCAGGCCATGTGAGTGGCTTGTTAGCGTTCACAGCAACGCTTTGAGGCGCCTTCGGGCACCTGTTTCAATCGCCTCTCTTGGTTTCCTCTCTTGGTTCCCGCTCTTTTGTGTGTCCGGCTGGAGAATAACTGCGTCATTTGATTCTTTGTCTGAATCACCTCTCTTGCGTGTGTCTGGCTGGAAGGTTATTGCGTCATCTGATTCCCTGTCTGAATCACCTCCGGTATCTTGTGCGTGCCAGGCTGGAGGATCAGGGGAAGCGGGTGGACGAGCTGACGACGCTGCTGAGCCAAAAGGGGCTGGAGTGCAAGGAGGTTTCCCAGAAGCTGCATTCGGTGAAGGAAGGTGAGAGATAGTATTGCCTTGAGCCGTCTTGATCGGAAAATCTATCCGAAGCCAGTTTTCATTGCACAGGAGCACAAGCGGGGTGGATAGGCTGGATGTGCGACTCGTCCAGAAGGGGTTGTAATGCGAGGGGAATGCTCGAAAGTCGACATCATGCGGTTTGTTACTTTCCTGACTTGGCTTTCGAAATCAGGAAAGCGCCAAGCTGTCTCTCAACGCTTTTTGAAGTGCCTCCTAGGACTGGCTCTTAACCCCTTTTCTGTTTCTCTTTCCTCCTGTTTTTAATCTGCTCCCTCCAGAGAATAGCAAGCTGCGGCGTCGGCTCAAGGCGACTGCCTTGGCCCAGAGCTGCGAGGCAGGCTCGGCAAGCCCGGACCTGCGGGAGGCTCTGGCTCGGGCGGAAAGACAGCTGCTGGAGAAGAAGCAGCAGGTGGAAGTGGCCGAGGCTCTTAATGAGGAACTCAAGGAGCAGGTGAGCGGGAGCTGGAAGGTGTTTTGGGAAGTTCCAACGGGCGTGAGTGCTGGGTGGGGTTGGGCAGGGTTCGAGTGTCTGGCAGCTGCTGGAGAAGCAGCAGGTGGAAGTGGCAGAGGCTCTTAACGAGGAGCTCAAGGAGCAGGTGAGCGGGAATGGGCTGGCGTGAAAGAGATGGGTGAGAGTGAGGTATGAATGAGGGGATCACGGGGGCGTAGGTGACGCGGCGAGCCTCAGGTAAACGGACAAGGCTTGAATCAGTTTCCATGCTTCACCTGTACTGTGCAGGTGAAGCACCTAATTAGGGGTGGGTCGAGCCAGGAGAACCGCCAGGTGTTTATGCAAGCTTTGGCTTACTCCCGCTATTCCTTCTTACCCATGATCTCCAGGTGAAACACCTGACCGGGCGGTTGAGCCAGGAGGATCTTCAGGTGTTTCGGCAGTCGTTCAAGGGGCGGTTGACAGCAGCGGAGCAGTGTATATCGGAGCAGGAGCAGAAGAGCAAAGCGCTCAGTCACGCCGCAGAGGCACACATGGGTCTGGGGGAGAGATTGAAGGAGGTGGAGGAGGAGTGTGGGAGATGGAGGGAAATTGCTAGAGAGAGTGAGATAAGGGCGGGTGGGGCGGAAGAGGCGCGTAGGCTTGCAGTGGAGCAGCTTGAAACGAGGATGCGCGCGTGGGAGAGGGAGAAGGAGGAGCTTGTGCGGAGAATGGAGGAGTTGGAAGGGTTGGAGAGGGAGAATGGAGTGTGGGGAGTGGAGGAAGTCAAGGAACGGTTGAGGATAGCAGAGGAAGAGAGGGACGAGATGCGGAGGCGTCTGGAAGAGGCTTTAGAGGCTTGTTCCGAGAGTGAAACGCTAGTGGATGCTATTGAAAGATCCAGGGAAGGGCTTAAGCAGGAAGTGCAGGGGTTAAGTGAGAGGATTCGGGAGATAGAAGGGGAGTTGGAAAATCTGAGGGACCAAATGACAGAGGCTGTGGAAGGGAGGAGAACTGCGGAGGAGGAAGCTGAGCTGGTAAGGCAGGAGTTGAATGTGGTGCAGAGGGAGCTGCTTGATGTGAAAGAGGAGGTGCTTATAGCGAGGCAGGACGTAGAGAGGGCAAGGGAGAGGGAGGCAGCCGGGGATGAGGCGAGAAGAGCGGAGAGGGAGGCTGGGGAGAGGCTGCAAGAGGCGGAGGGACGACTGAGGGAAGCCGAGGGGATGATTGAAGAGCTGAGGGAGAAGGAAGGGGGGTTACTGAGGGAAGTGGAGAGTGTGAGGGGCGAGTTAGAGGCGAAGGAGAGAGGAATGGAAGAGCGGGAGGAGAAGGTGAGGGAGCTTGAACAGCAGATTGAAGGGCTTCAGGAGGAGGTGGAGAGGGAGAGGGAGGCTGTGAGGCGGGTAGAGACAGAGAAGCAGGAGATTTCTCAGAGGATTTCTCAGGAGATTTCTCAGGAGATGGAAGCTCGGGTTGAGGGGTTGGAGGAGCAGGTTAGGGGGCTTGAGGGGGAGGTGGAGAGGGAGAAGGAGCGAGTGGTGTGTGTGGAAATGGCTCTGAGGAGGAAAGAAGAGGAGGTGCAGAGAGGTAGAGAGGAACGGGAGGGGATGGAGAGGGAAATTGAGAAAATGAAGGAGAAGGTTGAGGAGGAGGTGAAGGGGAGAGTGGAGGCGGAGGTGAAAGTGCGTGAGATGGAAGAGGAGAAGAGGAGAGCAGAGGAGGAGAGAGAAAAGGAGGTGGAAGGATTGAAGGGAGAGGTGGAGAGGCTTGAGAATGAGGTTGAGAAGGTTCGGGAGGAGTTGGAGGGAGTGAGAGGGCAGGTGGTGGGGGAGAGTGAGGTGAGGCGAAGGCTGGAGACTGTAGAAGGGGAGTATGGACGACTGAGAATGGAACTTTCGACGAAAGTGAGAGAGGCTGCAGCAGAGAGAGAAGCGAGGGAGGAGAAGGAGAGGGAGTTGCAGGAAGTAAGGGAGGCAGCAGTGGTTGCGACCGAGGAGTGGAAGAAGGAGTTGGGAGAGGTTGAGAGGGTTATGGGGGTGATTCGGGAGGAGCGGGAGGCGGTGCAGAGGGAATGTGAGCGGTTGAGGGAAGAGGCGGAGGAGAGGGAGGTACAGGTGAGGCTCTTGGAAGGGGCAAGGGATGATGTGGTTGCTGCGATGGGAGGGATTCGGGATGAGAAGAGAAAGGTTGAGAGGGATATGGAGGAGCGTTTTGAAGCTCTGAAGGTGGAGATTGAGGAGGTGAGGAGGAAGGGGGAAGAGGTGAGGGAGGCGCGGGAGAAGGAGCGGAAGGAAAGGGAGGAGGAGAGGAAGGAGAGGGAGGAGGAGCAGCGTGGTTTGGAGAAGGAGAGGAGGCAGTGGGAGGAGGAGAGGGAGAAGATGGAGCAGGAGCAGGGAAGGATGGAGGAGGAAAGGAGGCGGTGGGAAGAGGAGGTGGGTGCTGCGAGAGAGGCTGTGGAGGAGGCAGAGGGGAAGGCGAGCGCCGCAAGGGAGTTGGTGGATGAGTTACAGAGAGAATTAGAGATTGTGCAGAGAGAGAGAGAGGCGTTGCAGGGAGAGACTGATGCGCTGAGGGAGCAGCTAAGGGAGGCAGCGGAGGAGGCGGAGGAGAAGGCGAGCGCTGCTAGGGAGTTGGTGGATGGGCTACAGAGAGAGATTGATTCGCTGCAAGGGGAGATTGATGCGCTGAGGGAACAGGGGCAGGGACAGGGGCAGGGGCAGGGACAGGTGCAAGAGCAGGGGCAGGAGAATGGAGGAGAGGCAAACGACATGATTGAGCTGGTGAGTGTCGTATATGATGGTGTGATAGTATCACGAGTATGATCCACACTTTCATTAAGTCAGCGCCCAAGTTGGTTTCCCTTGCGAAGCTAAGTCTGCTTCTCCTTTCCCCCACACACAACTACTTTTTGAGGCACTTCAGAAGACCCAGGCCCGCAGCTGGTTCCCCTAGGGATGTTGATTTTGGTCTTCCGTTTCCCGGCACAAAACAGGTGGAGGAGTTGAAGGAGCAGCTGAGGGAGGCGGAGGAGGCGCTGAGCATGAACGAGACGAATCTGTTGGCGTCCGATTGGGCTGTGCAGCAGCTGGCAGGGGAGCTGTCGACTGTGAAAAGGGTGAGTGGGGAGGGTGCGAGCATGCATGATGATGCTATGGCAGTGAGGGCATGATCGAGACAAACCTGTCAGCAGCTGGCAGGGGAGCTGTCGACTGTGAAGAGGGGAGTGGTCTGAGGGGGGGGAGAATGTGGGAACAAACGAAAGTCTAATCGTAATGAGAGATGGTGCCAAGGCCTGTAGGTGCCTGCAAACACGAGACGAACCTGACTGGGCTGACATGGCCTCTGACTGGGCTGTGCAGCAGCTGGCAGGGGAGCTATCGACTGTGAAGAGGGTGAGTGGCATGGGGGAGATGGCGTGCGAACAGGTGAGAGGACCAGCTGTCGGTGCTGAATCACGTTTTGGAGAAGGAGAGGGACCCATAGGGCGCTCTGCTTCCGCCTCTTACTCCTCCTGCCCTGTGCTCACCCACCCCTCCACACTCCTTCCAACCGTGCAGAAACTTTTGGAGAGGGAGAAGGAGCTAGGTGACTTTTGAGTCGACTCAGAAGTCACCTGGAGAATTACAAGACCAGCTGTCAGTGCTAGATCATGCAGTGGAGGAGAAGGAGAGGGACCTGGAGCGAGCTCTCTCTTACTCTTGCTGCCCTATGCTCAAACACCCCCCCCTTCCTCCTTACAGAAACTGGTGGAGAGGGAAAAGGAATTGGCAGAACTACAGGACCGATTATCAGTGGTGGATCATGCAGTGGAGGAGAAGGAGAGGGACCTGGAGAGACTGGCGGCAGCACTGCAGGAGGCGAACAAGAAGCGGTGGGCGCGGGCTCAGCAGATCAAACAGATGGAAGCCGAGATGGCGGTGCTGAGGGGGCAGGTGCAGGGGCAGGTGGGGAGTCTGGGAGGTGCAAGTGGGGGTGACGGGAGTGCAGAGAAGAGTGACGCTAGAAGGGAGGGCGAGAGGGAGAAGGAAGAGGAGATGGAGAGGCAGGGGCAGGGCCAGGAGCAGCAGCAGAAGCAGGAGGAGCAGGGGCAGGATCAGAAGCAGGAACAGGATCAGGGGCAGGAGATGGAAAGGGAGTTGAGGGAGGCAAGGGAGGCTGTTCAGCGATTGCTGTTAGAGGTGAACGAAGGAAGAAGGGAGGTGGAGGGGAGGAGAAAGAGAGAGGAGGAGCTGAAGGAGGAGGTGGAGGAGGGAAGGGAGAGAGTGAGGGAGGTGGAGGTTCGACAGGGAGAGGCGGAGAGGCGAGTGAGGGAGCTGGAGGAGGAGGTGTGTGGGTTGAAGGGGATGATGGAGAGGAGGGGCGAGGAAGAGGAGGAGCGAGTGAGGGAGGTGGAGCAGAAGCGTGGGGAGGCTGAGAGGCGAGTGAGGGATCTGGAAGGGCAGCTTTCAGAGATGAAGGGAGATTTGGAGAGGAAGGAGGAGGAGAGGGAGGAGGCTGCTACTGCTCTTGCTGCTCAAGCTGCTGCTGCGTCTGATGCTGCTGCTGCTGATGCTGTTGCACCTGCTAGTTCCGCTGCTGCCGCTGCTGTTTCCCTTTGTGCTGCTTGCAATAGCGCCACCAGTGCTGGCGGCATTGCTGCTGCGAGAACTGCTGCTGGTGCTGTTGCCAGTGCCATTGCCACCGCTGCTGCTGGTGGCGCCTGGAGCACAGCGGAGGAGGGGCGTATATGGGAGCTGCGAGCAAAGCAGCTAGAAAAGGCCGTGGAGCGATGGAAGGAGTTTGAAGCAGCAGCTAGGCGGGAGGCCAAGTCCCGGAGAGAGGAGCTGGAGCTGAATAGCAGGCTGCTGGCTGATGCTGTTAGCCTGAATGATGAGAATGAGGTGACTCTGAAACGGTTGAGGGATGAGGTGTTAGCTCTGAGGGAGAAGCTAGAGGGTGTGGAGGCAGCGAGAGAGAAGGAGAGGAGAGGAGGGGGGGTGGGGAGTGGAGGGGAGATTGGGGGTGGAGGAGGGGGAGAGGGGGAGCTGGGGCGGTTGAGGGAGGAGGTGAAGGGGCTGCGGGCGAAGCTGCGGGTTGCTGAGATGGAGTGGGAGAGTGAGAGGGCGCAGAAGGGGCGGGCGGAAGAGGCACTAGTGAAGTACAGGAGGAAGCTGAGTGAGAGAGAGGAGGAGCTTCATGATGCCTTGGATAGGCTCTCTGCTGCTGCTGCTGCTGCTGCTGGTGCGGGTGGTGGTAGTTCTGGTGCTGTTGCTGGTGTTGGTGGTGTTGGTGTTTCCAGGGAGGATTCTGCAGCAGCTCCTGCTTTACAAGACAGGGTGTTTGCTCTTGAAAGGTGCGTGACCCCTGCTGGAGCTGCATCCCTGACTCTTATTTGTAAGAACGTGACTTTTGAGGTGCGTCAAAAGTTGTAAGAACGTGACAAGAGCCAAGTGCTAATCCGCCGGTGCTGCAGCATACAGACCAGCTTTTTGCTGCCACTTTTGCCGTTGGATCATGCCCCCGCTGAATCATCTCCCTCTTCCTCTCTCTCCCTCTCTCTCTCCCCCCCTCTCTCGTCCTCTCTCTCGCCCGTCATCTCTTTCTATTACAGGGAGAAAACAGACCTTCTGTTTCAGCTGGAGCAGCAGCAACACGCGGACCGCCTTATGGCTGCCTCTAGCCTCACCCCTGCTCGATCCACCTTTCTGTTGCAAACACCTGCTAAAACACCTGCGAATGCACCTGCTAAGGCTGGTTTTACAGCTGCGACAGGCCCCACTATTGCAGCAGCAGCTGTTAACACACCTGCTACTGCAGCCGCAACAGCCGCCACAGCCGCCACAATCACCTTTGGTGCCAAACCGAAATCACCTCTTGCTTTCGGAGCTAATGCAGGAACCCCCATGGCTTTCAGTGCTCAAGCCAAGTCGCCCACCCCGTTCAGAACCCACGGTGCCTCTCCTGCGCCTTTCAGAACCCAAGGTGCGGGGGGTGCCTCTCCTGCAGATACGGGAGGTGGGATCAAGTCCCCCTGGCGGCGCCGGGCGGCTGAGAAGGTTCCTGGAACTTCCCCTTGGAGGAGGAATCTGCAGGGGGTGGGTGCGGGGTTGGCGATGACCTTGGCAGGTGTTGGGAGTGGGGGAGGTGGGGAGGGAGGGAGCATGGATGAAAAGGAGGAGGGAAAGAAGCAGGAGACGAGAGTGGGGTTGGAGGAGGGGCAGAAGCAGGAGGAGGTTGGGAAGGGTGAGGAGGAGGAGAATGGCATGCAGAAAGGGGAGGAGCGAGAGATGGGGGAGCAGGAGACTGAAACGCCAGAGAAGAATCCGAAGCAGGAGCAAGCACAGCAGGAGCAAGCACACGGGGAGGAGAGCGGTAGCGGTGACCTTGTGATGGTGAGATGTGCGTCACTCTCCCCCTCGCCCTCCCAGAACATCATCCCGGCCAACTCTCTCCAGAAAGCCAGCTCAGAAAAGCATTTGCATCGGAGCAGGAGGCAAGCAGAGGGGCCGGATAACAAAGAGGGAGGGGGCGAGGTTGGGAGTGGTGGTGCGGGGGTAGGGAGGGATGGGAGCGGGAGTGTGGAGAGGAAGGGGGGAGGTGGTAGGGAGGTGGATGGTGGAGGGGATGATGGGTCGCCTTCTAAGCGCGTGCGGCTGTCCATGCTGAGATGAAACTGTGGAGGGGAGATGAAACTGTAGGGTGAGTGAGTTGAAACTGTGCAGGTACAGGCTGGTTCAGGGTCATGTGGTGTTTCTTAGGCTTGGGTTGGGATATTCCAACCCTGCTACTTTGCACAGCAGAGTAGTGTATCTTGTTTGAGGTTAGAATGTAGACACAATACCTGACTAGCCGATTTGTCGAATCAGATCCTTTCTGATTCATATACGGGTATAGTGTTTTTAGTGTGAAAGCTGTGTACCGTATACATGTCGAGATTGTGTTTCGCGTGTTATGGTGGCCCGTATGTTATGAGTTCTACTAGACAGAGTGCGCGGAAGACTTCTATAAAGAGAATGAATTACAGAATGATCAAGAATGGTAAAGGAGCATGCATTTATAGGGTCGAAACTGTGCTAGGCGATGACCTCGGGACGTGGATGGATTGGATGTGTCGCGATTGGTGCGGGGCGACTCGGTAGTGGTTCGGTCCGAAATGTAGGCCGAGCCACCTGACGCGATGTGCTCGGGCTGTCCTCGCTAGGAGCAGCCTCTACAGTAAAGAATTGTGTATTCATTACACTCTCCCACCTTCTAAATAAGGTCCCCTTATCCGTTGACGAGTCGTGCAGTAGCGTGAAAACTGCAGATCTCGGTTGAAAACGGATCTGACGGTGCAGAATGCGTTGACCGCTGAGGTGACGCGAGGCTCAGTGCGTTGACCAGGCGAGTTTCAAAGAGTTGGAATGTCAGCCGTTGATACTGCAGAAGTCGATCGGGCGGTTCAGATCGAGAAGTCGAGTTGAATTCTTCGATGAATGAAAACCGTCGATGTGGCGGATCTGTGTCGGACAGTCAAGATGAATTCGCTAGTGGCGGGAATTTTGACGCGTTGTCAGAGGCCGATGAATTGGGACCCGTCGATGTCGATAGTTTAATCGCGAGCGTCCGCCGTGTTGGATGTGTTAAACAGAACTGTCAGAAAATACTGAAGCTCCCTGCGGAATTCGGTCGACGGAACCGAATTGCCAGGGTTGACGAGGGGGGTCGTCGGAGAGGGGTTTGACGAGGCGGGCAACTGACACGCGTGCGGGCTCGCCAGCCTGGCCCAGGGCTGGGCCGAGCGCACGACCGCCGCCCCGCAACCCCACCCCGAAAGTGAACAGCGTCCCACGTTACCGGGTGGGGTCGGCGAAGTGGCGACCCACTCGAGCGAGGGGGAGTTACCCTCGCGCGAAGGCAGCCCTCCCGTCCCCGCTGCCCGTGAAGTCCTAGTGAGCCTTGCGATCGGACCGGACGAGCAGGCGAGGGCCACGCGAAATTCGGGTGCTCCCCTCGGGACGCTCGACAATTTCGCGACCCGTCGGGGTGACGCCACGTGCTCGCCCGTCTTTTCGCATCGTATGCATGCGAAATTTTGTCCCCGCCGAAAATCGAGCGAAATTTGGGTCGCTCGCACCGGGCCGCACGGTTTTCGCGACCCGCTATGAAATCGACACGTGGTGCCGAAACGTCGCACCGCGCGCATGCGAACTTGAGTTCCCTGGCCGACCGAGGCCAGGGGGCGTGACGTCGACCTGTTGGCTCGGCGGCCACGGTGCACTTGTGCCACGCCACTTGAATCATGAGCCCTGCCGAGCCAGGCACCACGGCCCCCCTGGGCGACGCTCAACCGGGCCTGCGAGGCTCTGAGGAAAGTAGAACGAGAATGAATGACTATGGAATGAAAGTGATACAAATATGCAACCCTAGAAATGTGTACCCCATATGGGCTACCCCACTAAAACCTAGACAACATTATAATTTGACACACCCCCATAGGCAAAGTGGGGGAGAACAAGGGGTCACAAGACCAGTCAAGCAAAGCAAAACAAAGCTCAGGGTGGATCACAAAGTCACCACATATTCCGAGCACAAGTTCAAGGCCAGAAGGCCAGTTCACATGCAGGAGCACATATATATATATAAGAGGCTAAACAAACAAGAGCAGGTGTATATATATGTGACAGTACAAGCAAGGTCAAGAAGTGAGCAAGTGAGGCAAGACACGCACAAGACCAAGCTGAGTACAGAAGCGCTGATGATCACAAGGCGCAAGTGCCTTGGTGAAAACATCAGCAGTGTTGGCCTCAGAGGCCACGTACGCAAGGCGCAACTGACCACGCTGCTGTAGCTCACGAGCAAGGAAGTAGCGAAGAGAAATGTGCTTTGTTCTGTGCTCCAGTCTCTGCTCTCGACACAAGGCCAGCATGGCCTTGTTGTCTACGTACAGGACTGAAGGAGAACGAGGCGGCTCTCCAAGGTCGGTCAGCAGGTAGGTGAGCCAGCGAAGCTCCTGTGCAGCCATGGCCCCGGCGTAGATCTCAGCCTCACAACTGGAGCCGAGAACAGAAGACGAGCGAGTAGCCCGCCACGAAACAAAGCCGGAACCAAGGCTGAAGGTGTAACCCTGTGACGACCGCTGCGTAGCCTGGTCGTCAGCCCAAGAAGCGTCCGCGTGCCCAGTGAGGACCACTGGACTCTGCCCTCCAAGCACTAGCCCCATGCCCGACGTACTGCATACGTAGCGCAACACCCTCTTCGCTGCAGCCATGTGCTCTGGTCGGTGTCTCCCAGGAGCAACATAGCGTGCCAGGATGCTAAGAGGGTATGCAAGGTCAGGTCGTGTGCAGGCTCTCAGGTACATGAGGCAGTCAACAAGCTTTGGGTACGGGCCACTCGACTCTACGGACTCATCCGAAGGCAGAGCTGAGAGCGAGTGGCGAGTAGACAGAGGAGTGGCCTGAGGCGAGGAGTACGTGAAGCCGAAGCGCTGAAGGACCTGCTGCACCATGTGTGACTGAGTCAGGGTAATGGTGCGGCGTGCTCTGTCCCGGGTGATCTGCAAGCCAAGGTAGCTGCGCAGTTCACCCAGGTCTGTGCACGTGTGTCTCTTCTGCAGCTCGGACTTCACGTGGGCGAGTCCAGCAGTGTCAGCAGTGGCAAAGACCAAGTCGTCGACGTACACGAGGATGTAGAACGGCGGCAAAGAGGTGTCGGTGCGTAGAAACAGCGACGGGTCAGCAGTAGAGGGAGCAAACTCAAGAGCCGCAAGCGTAGTCCTCAGTGTGTCGTGCCACTCGCGCGGTGCCTGGCGGAGACCGTAGACTGGCCGTCGGAGGCTCCACTGGGTGCAAGGAGGGAAAGTCCCAGTGAAGCCAGGTGGACGGCGCAGCTAGATCTCCTCGTGCAGGCTACCCTGCAGGAAAGCAGTGCTGAAGTCAAGGGAGTGAAGCTCGTAGTCACGCTGAGCGGCTATGTGTAGCAGTACCCAAAGAGTGGTCATCTTCGGGGTGGGAGAGAAGGTCTGAAAGTAGTCAACTCTCTGCCGCTGACTGAAGCCACGAGCCACGTAGCGTGCCTTGAAGACAGGCGGAGAGCCCGGCGGCCGCTTCACCCTGAAGATCCACATGCCACTGACGATGTTCGCCCCAGGTGGGGGAACCGCGTCAATGTAGGTGCCTGTGGACTTCCAGGAAGCCATCTCTGCATCCATAGCTGTCTGCCACTGAGAGGATTAGGGACCCTCTACGGCCTCCGCGTAAGAGCGCGGAGTCGGGATGTCAAGTGCATCCGGGTCTCCCTCAGGGGTAAGTAGTACGGACACGAGATAAGGTGAAGCAGCAGCCAGACACTGGAACTCCTCCTGCCTGTCCTCAAGGACGTCCGTGCCAAGAGCAATCTCACCCTCGACGGACGGAGGACAGACAGACGCAGACTCAGCAACGAGACTAGCAGCGTAGTCTAGACGACAGCGAGCAGCAAAGTCGACGAGCTCAGAAACAAGAGCAGACGTAGCAGTGGACTCAAAAGAGGGGTCAGTGACGACAGTAGCAAGGAGACGCGTGACAGTAGGACTGGCAGCACGAAGAGAGTCCGACTCCGGGTCGGCAAGAGCAGGAAGAGAGGACTCAGGAGGAGAAGGCAAAGGGGCACGCAAAGGAGCAGTGGACGGACGCAGAGACATCCGGTGCGTGCCAGGGACAGGAGGAGGACGCTGACGCGAACCGCGACCACTAGCGCGAGCAGTACGAACCGGCGACGCAGGACGAGACGCAGGCTCACGACGCTCAGTAAGACCTCCAGTAGGACCAGTGTAGGGAGAAGGAGCAGGCAGTGGGGAGGCCGGCGGTAACTGTGACTGTGACTGGACAAGCGGTGGACACTCTAAGGGAGGAGGAAGACCAAGAACCTGCTGAAGGAGCGGAACAAAGTACGGCCGAGGCCGCGCGGCGACTCCAGACACAGCAGGGACAGCACCAGCACCCCCAGTGGCAGCACCAGCGCCAACAGCACCTCCAGCTCCAGTACCTCCAGCAGCACCAACAGCACCCGCAGCAGGACCGCCGCTAGGACTGACAGCAGTAGCCTCAGCGCCAACACCCTCAGCAGCTCCGACTCCAGTCGCACTCGCAGGCCCAGCAGCTCCAGCACTCCCAGGGCTAGCACCTCCGAGACCGGCGGCACCAGCACCCTCAGCAGCCGAAGAAGCACCAGCTCCAGCAGTACGCCTCCAGCGCCGGGCAAACCACTCGCGCAGCTCCTGTGGAGAGAGTGGCTCCCGCCGAGACGAAGCACCCGGAGAACCACCAGGCCCAGTACCGCCAGACGCCACACCAGCAGGTCCAGCGGCCGCAGGCTCCGCACCCCCAAGCTCAGCAGCTCCAGACTCAGTACCCCCAGGCTTAGCAGCTCCAGACGCAGCACCCCCAGGCTCAACAGCTCCAGACGCAGCACCCCCAGGCAAAGGACCCCAAGGCTCAGCACCCCCAGTCGTAGCACCCCCAAGCTCAGTACCCCCAGGCTCAGCACCCACTCGCGCAGCACCCCCAGAGTCAGCACCCCCAGGCTCAGCACCCGCAGCAGTACCAGAGTCACCAGCAACCTCGACCGGCTCGACTGTGTCTACCTGGGACACACCTGAAGGGGCAGGACCGTGAGGGGGGAGGGGGTCTACCGGGGGGGGACCTGGCACAAGGAAGTGCGGCGGCGGGGGGAGGGAAGGAGTGCGGTAGGGGAAGAGACGGTAGTAGGGGACCGACTCGTCAAACGTGACGTCTTGGGAGGACAGAACACGACGAGAGGAGGGGTGGTAGAACTGCCACCCTGGTGCGTCAGGGGGGAAGCCAAGGAAGACACAAGGAGCAGCACGAGGGGACAGTTTGTCCGCAGACAAGTCGCGGACAAACGCCCGAGATCCCAAGACACGGAACGCAGACGCATCGCCTACCTTCCCCGTCCACAGCAGAGCTGGGGAGGTCTCCGGCATGGAGACCCTGGGGTGAAGGTTAATCTGATGCGCCGCGTACCGAACCGCAAACGGCCACAGAAAATGGGGGGCAGCCGCATGCATCATGGACGTATGAGCGACGTCCATGACCATGCCAATGCGGCGCTCAGCAATCCCATTTTCCTGTGGAGAGTCCAGAAGCGTCAAGGTCTGGCGGATGCCTCGCGCACGGCAGAAGGCTCGCAGAAGGCCAGAGGAGAACTCTCCGCCTCGGTCAGAGTGCAGACGCAGAACAGGAAAGTCCGAGCCGAAGCTCCTCCTGAGCTGGAGACGAGCTGCGCAGATCCAGTCGATCAACACCTCAGTGACATCACCCTTGCTACGCAAGGGGAAGACTGAGGTGTAACGCGAGTAGTCGTCAACCACCAGCAGGAAGTAGCGCTCGTGACCCTGTCCACGGACGCGGGCTGGGCCCCACACGTCCATGTGAAGTGTCTGCAGCGGGGCCTCTGTCGGGGGAAACTGAGAGGAGTGAGGGGCAGCCCGGAGCCGCCCCTCGACACAGGGAACAAAGGAAGGACCAGGCCCTGGAGGAAGGGGAGGGAAGGACCGGAGGAGACCAGAGACAAGGACACGGGAAGCCATGCCTCGGAGACGAGGCAGGGAGGGGTGACCAAGACGGTGGTGCCACAGGAGAGTCTCGTGAGACAGGAGGCGACACGAGCAGGGGGCAGACTCAGGACCAGACCTGGACGCTGCAGCAAATACCTGACCCGACGCAGCTACCTGGCTAGACGCAGGGACAGGAGGAGACCCAGTGGTCAGGGTGTAGAGGCTCGACCCCGGCCGACGCGTAAACGTGGCCAGGTGCCGGCCTGTGCGAGCGTCCGAGCAGTGGGTCACCCGCTGACCCGCAGGAGTAAACTGGTGAACCCCCGTATCCTGCAGGTCAGCACCACTCACCAAGTTCGTAGAGAACGAGGGGAGGTAAAGACCAGACAAGGTGCCAGAGGGGGCCGCCGGACACGGGAGGAGAGTGGAGAAGTGAGAGAGGACAGGACCCCCAAAGGGGTCTGCCAGGGAGACTGCAACCGGCCGACCAAGCGGCGTGAGTGTGGTGCGGTCTCGAAAGAAGGAGCGAGAAGCCCCTGAGTCAAGTGTGAAGGTGAGGGAGGCCGAAGCCGACGTGGTACCTGAGAGCGTAGACTCACCAGCACCTGAGGGCGCAGACGCACTGGCACCTAGAGCAGCAGCCTCGCCAGCACCTAGAGCAGCAGTACCAATGCCCGGGTCGGGCGGGAAACACCGGTAACAGTCACCCTCATCACTAATAGTCACAGCATACATGGCAGCAAGGATAGCATCAAAGTCAAGATCATAGAAAGCTCTCCCCAGCGGGGGATCTCACTGGCCTCCAGGAACTGCTGACGCCAAGCGTCCGTCAGGCGGCCAAAGCAGCGCTGGGTGGGGTGGGCACCCCCACACTGCTCACCCGCGCGGTCGCCGGAGCGAAGGACGTAGGTGCACGGACCAAAACCCCCACCATGCTGACGCTGCGCGTACCACTCACGGAGCTGCTGAGGGGGGGGAATGTCCCGAGAACGCTGCTGCTATTGCTGCTGCTGGCGCTGACCACCACCAGGGCTGCTCCGCTGCGAAGCGCCACCCCGACCACCAACACCTCCTCCACCACCGCCTCCTCCACCTCCGCCACCACCGCCGCCTCCGCTAGCACCGCCGCCGCCTCCGCCGCCTCCGCCTCCACTGCTACCACCGACACCTCCACCCCCGCCACCACTCCCACCGCCACCCCCACTCCCTCCGCCGCCTCCACCGCCTCCACCGCCACCTCCACCGCCCCCGCTAGCTCCACCCGCGCCCTTGCCCCCCTTGCCCTTGCCAGAGCGGCGTCTCCCGCTAGAGGCAGACGTCGCACCGACCGACTCAAGACCAACGAGGTCGGCCGCAGCGGCAGAGGCGACAGAGGGCAAAAGGGGGGAAGGAGAACACCCCTCAAAGATGGGGGTGCGAGGGTCACCACAAGAGGCTCCTACAGCAAATATACTCTTCTCCGCTGCTAGGAGGGCCTTCTCTAAGAGGTCAACAGTGAGAGTGGTGGGACAGACTGAGAGGAAGTGGTCCCTGACTACACGAAGGGAGTCAGGGAGGCGGGTGACTATATAATAGAGAGTGATGTACATGGGGGGGGGGGGTTCTTGGCGTAGAACTCAGAAGGAAGCGCGGCGCGGTAGCGAGTGTCACTAGTGCGGAGGTGCGTAATGAGGTCAGCGATTGTGGGAAAGGCAGCAAGGTCAGGGAAGAGGTACGGTAGCATGAGGCGGCTCAGTGCAGCAGTGGCAGGGGAAGAGTAGCACGCAAATACAGCGTCGTACAAGGTCTGAGCACTCTTGTACTGACTAAAGTGTGCGCGCTCAGTGGTAGGCAGGTGGCGACGCATAGCAAGACGTGCAGCAGCATCGCGCGTGGCCCACTGGGAGCGAACAGTGGGGTCAGCATCAGCAGCAGGGGCAGGAGAGGCGCCAGAGGTGAGGTCAAAGAGAGAGAGATCGTCTGCCCTATCGCACTATAAGAACAGCTGCAGGTCGTCGACCCAGACCTCAAAGTCAATGGCTCGACCCTCAGCGTCAAACGCGAGGACACTAGGGGTAGCCATGACAACAGTAGACTAGCAGTACCAACTGTAGGACAGGGGCAGTGCAGTGACAGAAGCGCTGCTCTCACCAGACAGGGCAGTTCGGGCAGCTCAGTAGCACAGCAACACGGCAACACGGCTGCTCGGACGGCTCAGCAGCAACTGCGGCTCCGCGGCACCAGCGGCTCGGCTCCTCAGGCGGCTCGGGCGGCTCGGGCGGCTCGGGCGGGTCGGGCGGTTCGGGCGGCTCGGGCTGGTCGGGCGGGTCGGGCGGCTCGGGAGAGTCGGGCGGCTCGGGCGACTCCGGCGGCTCGGGCAGGGCGGGCGGCTCGGGCGGCTCGGGTGGCTTGGGCTGGTCAGGCGGCTCGGGCGGCTCGGGAGAGTCGGGCGGCTCGGGCGGCTCGGGCGGCTCGAGCAGGTCGGGCGGTTCGGGCGGCTCGGGCGGTTCGGACGGCTCGGGCGGCGCGGGCGGTGTAGGGCGGCAGGGCCGCTGGTGAAAGGGGCGGCGGGGCCGAAGTGAAGGGGCGGCAGGGCTGCTGGTAAAGGGCGGCGGGGCCGCTGAGAAGGGCGGCGGGGCCGCTGAGAAGGGTGGAGGGGCCGCAGTAGAAGGGCGGCGGGGCCGCTGAGTAGGGCGGCGGGGCCGTTGAGAAGGGCGGCGGGGCCGCAGCGAGCGAGGCGGCGGGGCCGCAGGGTAGGGCGGCGGGGCCGCTGAGTAGGGCGGCGGGGCTGCAGCGAGAGAGGCGGCGGGGCCGCAGTGAAGGGCGGCGGGGCCGCTGAGTAGGGCGGCGGGGCTGCAGCGAGAGAGGCGGCGGGGCCGCAGTGAAGGGCGGCGGGGCCGCTGAGACGGGCGGCGGGGCCGCTGAGACGGGCGGCGGGGCCGCAGCGAAGGGCGGCGGGGCCGCAACGTGAGGCGGCGGGGCCGCAGCGAAGGGCGGCGAGGCCGCGAAGAAGGGCGGCGGGGCCGCTGCGAGGGGCGGCGCGGCCGCAGCGAAGGGGGGCAGGGCCGCGAAGAAGGGCGGCGGGGCCGCAATGTGGGGCGGCGGGGCCGCAGCGAAGGGCGGCGGGGCCGCTGAGAAGGGCGGCGGGGCTGCTGAGTAGGGCGGCTCGAAGAGGTGAGAGCCCGGAGCGCGACTCGGGGTGAGCGCGCTTCGGGCAGGAAAAAAAAGATCGATGTGGTGGGCCCTAGGCACAATTCCCACGGGGGAACCTGCTCGATACCATGAGGAAAGTAGAACGAGAATGAATGACTATGGAATGAAAGTGATACAAATATGCAACCCTAGAAATGTGTACCCCATATGGGCTACCCCACTAAAGCCTAGACAACATTATAATTTGACAGGCTCCGCCTGGCTTTTCTCTGTTGGAGGTGGACTGGCCCTTCATTTTCGCATTCTCGTTTCTCTTTCTTAGTTTTTTCCCAGCTCTGCGCCTTCCGTACTCCCACCGTTTCTTCCCTTAGCCTGTAGCATTCTCGCTCTCTAGCCATGGCGGCAGACCCGAAAGCCGCCGAAGCGGCGCCGGCCTCGCGCGACTTCCCCCTGTATCTAAACGTTGGTAGAGGACGTACAGCCAAGTTCGAGGAACACGACTACGCCGTTCTGACAAACCCTATGCTAGAGTTTATCGCCCGTTTCTTGGGACTCGGCCTCAAGTGAGTGTCTTATGGGGATATCGGCGTCATCAAGTTTATTTCATGTTGGTCTAGCCTTAGCGGGGATTCAAGCGACTCGTCGTTTAGGTCGACGGACTCATGGTTTAGGGTTCAGGGAAGTCGATCACATCGGTGTCGCCGACGTTAGGTGTTTGGTCTGCGTCGGTGCTGCGTTGTGCCATAGTCATTCGGCTCCCGTCGCTTCACCGCTCTGTCGTGCTATTGCCGCAACAGTAGTATCCGCCGTCGTCCCGAGCACCTACTCACGCACTCCTCCTAACCATGCATGCGTGCAGGCACGCTTGGTTGCGCGGAACGGATGAAAACGAGCGGCTGTGGTCGATAGGAGTCGGCCATCTTCGGGCGGCGATGGGTCAGGGCGACCACACATGCTTTGCGTCGGTTTTTTACGCCGACGTGGCGGTTATCCCACTGACATCGAGGTGAGCTGGTTCGGGGTCGTCCCGCTTGTGCTGCAAGCTGTGTCGGTGATCTGTTCTGAGCTATGTTGACGTGCCTTGTCTGTGCAGCATCGCACCGCTTCTAGGATCACATTGCAGCGTCGTTGTCATCCTGTGCCCCGGCGACTTGTTGAAGGCATCGGGCCAGAAGATCAGGACCTCTATCCGGCACGCTGACCCGCAGACGGTGAAGGAGTGGCACATGAAAGAGGCAAAACGCGTGCTGGAGTAAGCTCCATAGTGTAGTCGACGCCGCCTGCGTAGTCAAATTGCGGAGCGTGCACCATGCCAACTGACCGTCTGTGCCATGCTTATGCAGGTTTTTCCGGGCGGCTGTTATGGCCGAGCTTCAGCGCGAAGGTAGGAAATGGGAGTGGGCGAAGCTGTCTGAGGAGGAGGTGCATGCGAGGCTCGCCGACTGCGACGCACCCCTTCGAGATGTGAGTTTCCAACGTTTTTGTTAATATATGGTGTCACATCCTTGCGCGATGCAACTGCCGATCCGTTCTTGCGCGACGCGACTGCCGATCGCGGTGCTGATTTTTGCGCTCGTCTTTATTGTATGCAGAAAGTGCCCGACACCGTCCGGGACGGGGACGCGGGCTCCGGCCTGCTAGCAATGAGCGCGTTGCTCTGGGTTGTGAGGCGGTTCGATCTCCTGACCGGCGCCCACCGTCGCAGTGTCACCAGCATGGACAAGGTGTATGTTACGGGGATGAAGGGGCTGCGGACTGAGATGGTAACCTTCATCAAGAAGCAAGTCGCGCTCATACGATCGGGCCGAAACGTAGTTGCGGCCGACGCCTGTGACGACGACGGCGAGGAGGTTCCTTTGGCATCCCAAGCAGTAGGTGTCGCCCCCACCGTCGCTGATGCGAGTGGCACGTCGATCGGAAAGCCGGGAGGCGGCGTCGACGAGGACGAAGCGGCGACAGGAAAGGGTGTGACCGGGACCGATGAGAGGCAGCAGGATGAGGTTGGCCATGAGGATGATGATCGGATCCATGATCGTGAGGAGGAGGGGGGCTCGGAGGAGTCGACGTCGGAGTCGGAGTCGGGGTCGGAGGAGGAGCAGGAGGCTCAGGATCAGGAGGAGCAGCAGGGGAAGCAGCACGAGGAGGAGCAGCTAGAGGGGGAGCTGGAGGTGGAGGTGGAGGACGTGGAAATGGAGGATTACGGGGCTGAAGGAGCGGAGGAAACTGGAGAGAGAGCGGCGGAGGTCGAGTACGAGAAGGGGGAGGGGAAGGGTGCAACAGCGGAGCTCCGAACGGAGAAAGAGGAGGTCGGCGTGGAGGCGGCTCACGGGGGGAGTGGGATGGTCGTGGTCGGCGATGGGACCGACGTTGTCGACCACGATGCCGTTGGACATGGGGATATCGCCGCGGCCACAAAGCAGACGGGCGTGGAAGTGCCTATCGATGTCACCGCAGAGAAGGCCGGGGGGGAGCGGTCTAGGAAGAAGAAGTCGGCGAGCGGTCATCCCGGATCCACCGCAGCTGGGCGGCAGGCGCGGCTGGACGTCGTCAAGCAGCTGAGAGGGGAGAATAGGCGATTGCGTGCCGACAATGCACGCCTTGAACGGCAGCTCGGTGAGCAGACGGGGCGGGTCGACGCGTTGGCGGCGGACGTAGCTGGGCTCCTCGACAAGCTGAAAAAATTGACCGCCCAGGTCGCCGAAACCGACCGGAAATCGGTGGAGCACCTCAAAGAGGCCACGTCGACCATGGGGACCACAATCACCGAGGGCCTCACCGACAACATGGACAGCGCAATTCAAGCGGGCAAGTCCTTTGCCGAGCTAGCGAGGCTGATGCTGCTGGATCTCGACGACCCCGAAGGACGAATGGCGGTCGCACGCGCGACCGCGGTGGACACTTTGGTCGAGCACGTGACGGCTGAGGTGGGTGAGGCGAGGAAGGGGTTGGAGGAGACGGTCATTAAATACATCAGCGCTGCGCAGACCAACATTGCCGCCGCCGTCTCTCCCCGCCTCGTCGTTCAGCAGCCGCCGCCGACCGCCCCAGCGCAGGCCTTGTCGGCCAAGTTCCTGAAGTCCTTCAAGGAGGATGTGCTGAAGGCGGTGACGGAGACCACGCAGCAGTCCTTTCTCGCCTCCGGATAGAAGATAATGACCGAGGTGGTCGGCACGGTGGCGACTGCTCGGCGTGGGTCATCGCCGTCGGCAAACGACGCCGGCCAAGCGCAACCTATGGAGGCCAAGAAGCAGGGTCAGAAGAGGGGGGGCGACGGAGACGATTCGGCGAACGTGAAGCGGAGCAAGGGAGCCGGGGGGTCTCACGTCGCCGGCGACGGGAGCAAGGGGGCCGGAGAAGGTGGCGGCGGCGGGGGAGACGGAGACGATTCGGCGAGCGTGAGGCGGAGCAAGGGAGCGGGGGGGTCTCGTGTCACCAGCGAAGGGAGCAAGGGAGCCGGTGAAGGCAGTTCGGGGAAGCAGTCGGGGAAGAGCGTGGTCCACATCCTCAAGAAGCACTGGGCTACTGTTTCATCGCCCAACACGGGCCATGGTGGTGGGGGTCCCGCCGACGAGCATGCCGCTGATGACGCACGGCCAAGGGCTCCGCCTGTGGTGGCCGAGAAGCCGCCACGACAGGGTAGCGGAGAGAAAGGGCTGAGCGGCAAGGAAAAGGCTGCCGCCAAAACGACCCCAGGCGTTTCCGCGAAAACTGGCCAAGGGCCGACTGCCGGGGTAGTGAAGGCATCAGCGGTTCCTCACCAGCCTCCCGCGGGTGCACGCCCTCCGACCGGACTGTCTGCCGGGGGACCTGCCGACGTCCCGCGCCATGCCGACGTCCCGTCTGCCGACAAGGTTGGCCGCGCGGGGAAAGTGGCGGCAGTTGCTGACGCGCTAAAGGAGCAGCTGAGGCTCCTTGCCGGCCACAAGGCTCCTCAACAGCCTCCTCCCGCTGTCGACGTCTCATCGGCCGGTGTGCCACGTGTAGTGCCGGTCATCGCCGCCCGTACTCCTGCAGACCCAAAGTCCGCGTTCCTGCGCGCCCAGTTGGGCGCACTAGCGTCGACTGCGCCAACTCAGAAGGCATCCGGCTCTGGCGCTACGTCGTCGTCGGCGAATGTCGCACCACCCACCCCTGCGGCAGTTGAGGTTGAGAAAGCGGCAGAGAAGGGCGTTCGTACCGCAATTGCCACCGGCGGAGGCCCTGTTGAGGAGGTCCCCCCGACGCGGATATCGCTGCCATACAGGCCCATCTGGATGCCGCCAAACCCCGAACACTGGCCATCTCCGACACGGCACATGTGGAGCCTTCGGCGGGTCCCGTCGGCAGTTCAGCAGAGCCTAGTGCGATCGGTGATGCTGCCGGTGAAGGAAAGGCGAAACGGAAGGGGAAGGCGGGCTCACAAAGGAAGACGCGGGAGAGGTCGGAGGTGAAGGCGGCGGATAGAGGGAAGGCGAAGGCGGCGGATAGAGGGAAGGCAAAGGCGGCGGAGACGGCAGCGGACAAAGATGGTGGCGGCAATACGGGGATGAAAGGGAAAGCGGGGGAGCATCAGGAGAATTCGCTCGGCGAGGGTACGTCGACGGGGAGGAAGGGGAAGGACAAGTCGGTCGGAGAAGGTACGTCAACGGGGAGAATGGGGAAGGAGAAGGCGGTCGGCGATGCTTTGTCGAAGGGGAGAAAGGGAAAGAAGAAGGCGGAGGAGGATGAGGAGGTCAAGGAGGTGGAGGAGGTAGAGCATGAGGAGGAGGAAGAGGAGGAAGAGGAGGAGGAGGAGGAGGAGGAGGAGGAGGAGGAGGAGGAGGAGGAGGAGGAGGAGGAGGAGGAGGAGGAGGAGGAGGAAGAAAAGGGCAAGGAGAGGAGGGGTCATGGCATCCGACACGACAGCTCGGGCGACGGGGAAGGGTGGGTCGGCGAGATTAAGGTGCACGGCATCAATCGAAACATCGGCAAGTCGCGTGACAAGATGGAGCTCTCGTACGTGCACTCCATCGCGTACGTCGTCTACGACGGTTTCGTGAGCAAGGTGCTCATGTCTGAGCTCATCGTCTTGGACAGCGCCGAATTGGGGAGGTGGAAGGAGGTGCGGGAGGAGGTCAAGATCTTGCCGACAAGGATGTGGACGGTGATGTGGGCCCGGGGTACGCTCCTTCCGAAGACACGGTAAGTCGGTTAACCTCTGCCCCCAAGTCGACATACTGTGACGATGTCGTTGTCGTGGTCACTAATGTTCGCCCTGTTTGTTGTGCTGGCGTGACAGGCTGAACGATATCCTCGACAAGTATCGTCATTACAAGGCCTCAGGCGATGCTCTCCATGCCGCGCTCCTGCCAGCGATATGGTACCCAGTTGATGCCAACACCGAGGATGGCCAAAAGAAGTCGGCGTCTATGATGTCGGCGATGATAGGTCGCGTGTCCATGTGCGCTGCGAACGCGGCGAAGAAGGAGGGAGACAAGGAGGAGAAGACGGATATGGCGGCATGGGCGTTAGCAGCGTCCGCATGCGCTGTGTGGTGCTTCGTCGAGAACGGCGATGCCCAGGTGGCGGATGCTATGGAGGAAGGGAAGGCGGCGGCGCTTGTGTGCGGAGCAAGCCAGGCGACCGCCGATGTATTCGGAACTGTCATGGAGGCGGTGCAGAACGTCGCGATCAACAGGGACCGCCCCCTGGGAGAGGTTGCGTACAACGTCGCGCCAGCACTGCAGAGGCACGCCCTTGACAAGGTCTACCCGGGGGGGAATGCTGGCGTCGATGCCGACGTGGTCGCTAGAGCCACGGTCGAGACCATGGCGTTCTGGGGAATGTGCCCCGTCGCCGGGCCGAAACTCAAAGCGAAGGATATCGCGGTGCCGTGCGACGCGCAGATGAAGGCCGACCTTGACAACAGGGGGAGGAGGGGTCAGAGGGGCAAGAAGGGGACGGAGGCCAAGGGCGGCACGGGGAAGAAGGGGACGAAGGCCAAGGACAGCACGGCGGCGTAGTCGGCGGGCTTCTGGAGCGACAAAGGTTGCCGTCTTGCTAGGATTCATTGCTGCTAGGATTTGATTCTGCTATGGTCGATGTCGTTTTCAGTGTGTCGGCTGTCGGATCGCTGAGATGCTCGTTTTTTTGTGTGTTTCTTTTGTGTGACTGCTTGTCGACTTTAAGTAGGATGTGATTGGATCGATTTGTCGACTTGCAAAGGTTGTAAAACCCATTAGCTTGTCGACTACACGTGGGTTGTGATTACGGACATCAAGTCGACAAATTAATCAGTATAAAACCTATGCAATCTGCGTCAACAAGCTCTACAACATGCAACATCCCACAGCAACAGCTTGAAACCTTTGCGTGCTGCACCATTTACGCGGTCTTCTTGCGCTTGGCCGACTGCTTGGTCGGAGGCAGCTGCCCGGCGTCGTTCTCGCGGGCCATGTCGGCCAACGTCACCTTCATCTGCTCCTCCCAGGTGTCAGGGAACAGGTCGGCGACCCACTTTTCCGGCTTGAACCCGCGCGCCACGAACGCACAGGCTACACGAAGCTTGGAAACCTGACCCTTGCCGAGCCCCTTGACGCCCTTACCCGGACCGGCAAAGGTCGCGACTGTGTCGGCGTTGAGCACCGTTAGGGCATCCGAGAAGGTCCCAATGCCAGGCGCCGCTATCTTGTTAAGCGCGTCGACCACCTCCTCCGTGTCGGCTTCGCCGTCGCTCAGGCGAAGATGGCGCACCGCATCGATGACCTTCATCATGCGGCGCACCCTCTTCTCGAGTGCTCCCTGCGAGACACCGTCAAGGAGGGTGTGGCGGTCGACGAAACACGGCTCGGTGAACCTGTCGCACAGACGACGGGTGTCGGCGCTGGTGCACGAGGTCCAGAGGCGCCACGCGTCCCTCACGGTCGTTGCATTCCGCAAAGGCTGCACCACGTTGAGCTCGTAGCTAGCCTCCTCGACCGTCTGTGGGGGTTTAGGGGGTTTCTTGGCTCCGTCACCCTTGCTTGCCGAGTCCGCGGAGCCACCGTCGCTCGGCGACTGCTCGTTCGCAGCTGGCGGCGCCTCCGGCATCCTACGGGCTTCTGAAACGCGGAGAGCCTCGGTGAGGCGGGTTATCTCGGCCGTCAGCGACGCGATGGTTGCGTCGCGCATGTCGATCTTCTCCTCGAGGTCGATCTTCTCGACCGCTGACCGCTCCCTCTCGAGCTTAAGCGTCTCTGTGAGGGAGACGACCGCGTACTGGGCGTCATGGCGGAGCGATATCTCCTGCAATGGTAGGCGAATAACGTTGCAGGTGAGTGGTTGTAGTGGTCACAGTGCACATGGCGACGTCGATATGCATAATAACTTACCTCTGGCTGGATGAGGGTTGGGTCTTGCCGCTTTTTTATGGTCTCGGTGTCGGTTTTCTCGACCCTCTTCGCCCAGTGCTGGAAGAGGGGAATCCGGCAGAGCTTGGAGTACTGGACGTACGGGTGCCAAGGGGTGCGGACGAGTTTTACAGCGAGGTCCTCGGCGACAATACGGCGAAACATCAGGAGGGTACACCAGAAATGCACGGCGGCAATGTCGGCGTCGGACCCCTTCTTAGCGAGCTCTTCCGCCTGCAATTAGACAACGGAAGTGGGTGATTACCGTCGGTCGGAAGGACGATACCATGCGAGGCGTGGTCGGCACCGACAAAAATACCTTCTTAAGGAGGTCGTCCACGCCGGGGAATATGTGCTCGGCGATGAGATCCAGGAGTTCGGGCGTGGGTTCCACCCTGCTGCGACCCAAGAAGTAGTCCTGCGTGAAACCAGAATAGCCGGCCTTCTTCATCACCACGCCGACGGGAATGGCTGTGATGTAGGCTCGAGTCATCTTGTCGATAGCCCAGTGACCTAGCTCGGCTATCTCGGCGCGAGACGTACCGCCGATGGCCAGCTCCTGCGCCTCGCCAGCCCGAGCGGCATGGACGTTCCGCTTGCAGAACACCCCATTAGTCTTCCACATCTGCCTCGTCCATTGCTGGTGGCTGGGAGCTGGGAGTTCGTGCTGCTCGGGGTCGTTGCGGGCGAAGAAAAGGTGCTTCTTGTACCAGCGCTCGCGTGTGCTGGTGTCAACCGGCGGAATGAGGTCGACGTCGTGAAACTGGCCGATCTGGTCGATGATAAATTGTAACCACAGGCCGGTCTCGCCGACGGCACACAACTCCGCCTCGAGGTGCCGCGCCGCGTAGCTCTGGTGAAGACGCGCATCCTTCGACGTCTTCGAGTTCCGAGCGGCTACGACCATGACGACCGGCTGGTTTTCCGGGTTCACCAAGGAGGTGCTCGCCAGTCGGTACAAGAAGATGTCGGGGAGCGTTATCTCGTGGATGCTTGCACCGCGCATGAGGCTGTGGTGGGAGAGCAGCGTGAGCACCTTGACGAGAAGAAACCTCCACAGCGTCTGCGAAGGAGTGGTAAACCGCGGGCACCATGCCGACGCCGCCCAAGCCGGCAGCACCCTCGTCATGATATGGCGGAACTGTTCGGCGGTGTACGTGTCGCCGATGGTGCCACGTCGACGGTCGGCGCAATCACTGTCGACAGAACAACATAGGGATCCGATTATAAGGGCGAGGACCACAAATCGATAGCGATAGAACTCGCCGCTGTATGCCAACTTACTTGATGTCCCTCTGATTCTTGGTGCGGACCATGACCCGCACCTCCGAGCGGACCACCGAGATTTCCCGCATGATGCCCAACTCCTTCTCCTTGTAGAGCGTCGCCTCCACCCTCGCCGCCATCTGGCAGGCCTTGATACGGCCGAGGATCATGTGCACCGTGTAGGCTTGCACTGTCAAACATTATATATGTTTCTGTTGTGTAGGCTACAGTGGGTTAGCCTTTAGGGGGTACATTTCACTAGGGTTTCCTACTTGTACTCCAACAACTTTCTAGTTCATCACTTCTTGATTCTGACATGGTATTAAGAGCTTAGGTTCTAGACCTAAGGGCCCACCGTTCCGCTAGAGGTGCCCTCGTGCGCCCCCCCCCCCCTTTTTTTTTTTAGCGCCCTCCTGCGCCTCTCCCCTAGTGCGCCCTCGTGCACTCTCCTCTCACGCTGCCAGTGTGCAGCCCCGAGCGCGGCCCCGCCGTTTTAGCACGCGTAGGAAATTCGCCACCTAGGGTGGCCCGATTTTTTCTCGCGAGCCCCAGCAGGCTGTCGCCCGTATGCCCCGCTCGCCCCTAGGCCGACGCGCGACCCACAGCCGCCCACCCGCAGGTCGCAGCCAGCGCGCCACGGCGATCGCGCGTCGGGTGCTGCAGCTAGCGCTTAGCCGCCGCTCGAACGCAGCCGCGGCCCGCGCGCAGCCGCACCCTAGGCGCCGCCGTGCATCGAGCATAGGCCCGCCGTCGCGCCGCCATACCTACCCGAGCCGCGCCGCCCGAGTCGCGCTGCCCGAGTCGCACAGCCCTGACCGAGCCGCGCCGCCCTACCTGCAGCAACTGCTCTTCCTGCTCCTACTGCTACTACTGTTGCTCCTGCCAGTGCTGCTACTGCTACTACTGCTCCTGCTACTGCTACTACTGCTACTGCCACTATGGCCAGTCCCACTGTTCTCATCTTTGACGCCGAGGGCCGCCCGATTAAGTTCGATGTCTGGCTTGATGACCTTCACCTGTACCTCCAGATCACTGCCAAGGACGACGTCTCCCTCTATGACCACACGTCCGGCGCTGCTCCCGCACCTGTTGCTACTGCTGACAGTACTGCTCGCTCACAGTGGCAGACTCGTAACGCCCATGCTCGCCTAGCCGTTCGCAGCCACCTGCCGTTAGATGAGCGCGAGCACTTCGGCCAGCATAAGACCGCTAAGGAGCTGTATGACGCTGTAGTTGCCCGCTACTCCTCCCCTGCCACTGCTGCGATAGGCCGTCTCTCACAGCCCTACCTCTTCCCCGATCTGTCTGCCTTTGCCACTGTAGCCGACCTCATCACTCACCTCCGTACTAGTGATCTCCGCTACCGTGCCGCACTCCCCCCCGATTTCCTAGCCAAGAACCCCCCCCCCCCCCCCCCCCCCCCCCCCCCGATGTACCTCACCCTCTACCACCTGGTCACTCGCCTCCTTGACTCTCTTCGCGCTGTCAGGGACCACTTTCTCTATCTCTCCCCCATAGACCTCACTGTCGACCTGCTCGAGAAGAAACTCATCACAGCTGAGAAGAGCATTGTAGCTGTAGGTGCCTCTCGTGGCGACCCTCGCACTCCCTTCTTTGAGGGATGTTCCCCCTCCCCCCTTCTCCCCTCCATTGCATCTGCTGCTGCTGTCGACTACATCGGTGCTGAGGGGGTCGGAGCTGCGTTCGCTCCCAGTGGGAGGCGCAGGGGCGGCAAGGGCAAGGGGGGCCGGGGTGGAGGAGGCGATGGCGGGGGAGGTGGTGGTGGAGGGGGTGGAGGGGGCGGCGGCGGTGGCGGCTGTGGTGGGAGTGGTGCTGGTGGTGGGGGGGGCAGTGGCGGAGCCGGAGGTGCTGGAGGCGGCGGTGGTGGAGGTGGAGGCGGTGGTGGTGGCAGTGGTGGCGGCAGTGGAGCTGGTGGAGGGCGCGGTGGAGCGGTGCAGCGTGGCGGGTTCGGCGGCAGCCAGAGGCAGCAGCAGCAGCGCCCCAGCGAGCCCCCGTCGCCCCAGCAGCTCCGTGAGTGGTACTCTCAGCGTGGGGGGTCTGGGGGTGGAGGTACCTGCCTGTACGTCATCCGCACAGGTGACCGCACTGGCCAGACTTGTGGGAAGTTTCACACGGCGCAGCGCTGTTTCTTTCGCCTCGACGACGCCTGGCGCGAGCAGTTCCCTGACGCCTCTGAGCTGCCCCGCTGGGCTGATCTGCTTAGGAAGGGGATTGATATCTTTGCTCTTGATTACGATGCTATCCTTGCTGCTATGTATGCATTGACTATTAGTGTTGAGGGTGACTATTACCTGAGTGTACCGCCCGACCCGGGTATTGGGACCAGTGAGGCTGCAGCTCTAGGTGCTAGCGCCTCTGCTGCTCTAGGTCCTGGTGAGGCTACTGCCCTAGGTGCTAGTGCGTCTGCGTCTGCTGGTACCGCACCTACTGAGGCACTTCACACCTTCACACTGGACTCAGGTGCTTCCCGCTATTTCTTCCGCGACCGCACTGCCCTAGAGCAGCTTCCTAGACCGGTTGCTGTCTCCCTGGCTGACCCCTCAGGGGGTCCGGTCCTTGCGACCTCCACCACTGCCCTCCCTTGTCCTGCTGTCCCGTCTGGCACGCTGTCGGGCCTCTACCTCCTCTCGTTCTCTACGAACTTGGTGGCGGGTTCCGCGCTCCAGGACGCGGGTGTTCACCAGTTTACCCCGGCCTACGAGCGTGTGACGCACTGCAGGTGTGCCCGGACGGGTCGTCACCTGGCTACCTTCACTCGGCAGCCGGGGTCGGACTTGTACACACTGACCACTGAGTCCCCTCAGGTAGCTGCGTCTGCGTCAGGTCAGCTGTCGGCCCCCTGCTAGTATTGCTCCCTGTCACACAGGACTTTCCTCTGGCACCACCGCCTTGGTCACCCGTCAGTGCAGCGCCTTCGCGGCATGCACTCCACGTACCTTGTCTCTGGTCTTCCCAGAGTCCTCCCTCCCCTGCCACCCTCGCCTGCTCCTCCCTGTCTTCCCTGTGTCGAGGGGCGGCAGCGCGCCGCTCCTCACTCTTCCTCGTTCCCTCCCACAGAGGCTCCTCTGCAGACTCTCCACCTGGACGTGTGGGGCCCCGCCCACGTCCGGGGACAGGGCCACGAGCGGTACTTTCTGCTGGTCGTCGACGACTACACGCGCTACACCACGGTCTTCCCCTTGCGTACCAAGGGTGAGGTCCCTGATGTATTGATCCCCTGGATCCGCGCTACTCGTCTCCAGCTCCGCGAGCGGTTCCAGTCGGACTTTCCTGTCCTACGTCTGCACTCTGACAGAGGTGGCGAGTTTTCCTCTGACCTCTTGGCAGCCTACTATGCGGAGCACGACATCCGCCAGATGTTCACTCTCCCGGCCTTTACGCAGCAGAATGGGGTTGCTGAGCGCCGCATTGGTCTTGTCATGGAGGTCGCTCGTACCTCCATGATCCATGCGGCTGCCCCCCATTTCCTGTGGCCGTTTGCAGTGCAGTACGCCGCGCATCAGCTCAACCTCTGGCCCCGTGTCTCTGTTCCGGAGACCTCGCCTACCCTGCGTTGGATGGGGGAGGTTGGCGATGCGTCGGTGTTCCGAGTCTGGGGATGTCGAGCCTTTGTCCGCGATACGTCCGCGGACAAGCTCTCCTCCCGTGTCGTTCCCTGTGTCTTCCTTGGCTTTGTCCCTGACGCGCCTGGCTGGCAGTTTTACCACCCCACCTCGCGCCGTGTCTTCGCCTCTCAGGACGTCACCTTTGACAAGTCGGTACCCTTTTACGGTCTCTTCCCCTACCGCACTGCCCCGCTCCCCCCCCCCCCCGCCGCTCTTCCTCACCCCAGGTGTCCCGTCGGTAGACCCCCTCCCTCCCCAGGGTGCTGCTCCCTCAGGTGTTTCCCAGGTAGACCCGGTCGAGCCTGTCGAGGTAGCTGTTGACTCTGGTCCTGCGCGAGGTGCTGAGCATGCTGAGCCTGGTGGTGCTGGGTCTGGGGGTACTGAGACTGGGGGTGTTGAGCCTGGGGGTGCGGAGACTGGGGGTGCTGAGTCTGGGGGTGCGGAGACTGCGGGTGGTGAGTCTGGAGGTGCTGCGATTGGGGGTGTTGAGCCTAGAGGAGCTGAGGCTGGAGGCTCTGAGAATGACCGCACTGCGCCTGTTGGCGCTCCCTCTTCACAGCAGCTGCGTGAGTGGTACTCCCAGCGTTACAGCCTCCATCGTGGGACTCCTGGAGCTGTGGGGTCTGCTGGAGTTGGGGCTGGTGGCCCTGCGGGTGCAGTGACGCGGCCGGAGCCTCCCTCCCCTCAGCGGCTGCGTGAGTGGTACGCTCGACGCTGCAGCCTCCAGAGTGGAGCTCTTGGTGTTGAGGTACCGCCCGCTGGAGGCCCTACTGCTACTAGAGGTTCTGGAGCTGCTGGAGGTGCTGCTGGTGCTGGAGCTGCTGGAGGTGCTGCTAGTGCTGGTGCTGCTGGAGGTGCTGCTGGTATTGCTGGAGGTGTTGTTGGTGCTCCTGGAGGTATTGGAGCTGCTGGGGGTGCTGCTGGTGCTGCTGGAGGTTCTAGAGCTGCTGGAGGTGCTGCTGGTGCTGCTGGAGGTTCTGGAGCTGCTGGAGGTTCTACTTGTGCTGGTTCGGCTGGAGGTTCTGGTGCTGTCTCTGCTGCTTCTGGGGGCACTTCACGGCCGCGGCCGTACTTCGTTCCGCTCCTTTAGCAGTTTCTTGGTCAGCCGCCTCCTCCTAGTTCTCCTCCCTCCTTAGAGTGTCCTCCGCCTGTCCATTCGCAGTCACAGCTACCGCCTGCCTCGCCACTTCCTGGTCCTTCTCCCTACACTGGTCCGACAGGCGGTCTTACAGAGCGTCGTGAGCCTGAGTCTCGTCCTGTGTTGCCTGTGTCTCGTCCTGTGTCACCTGTTCGTGCTGCTCGCACTGGTCGCCGTGGTCCGCGTGAGCGTCCTCCACCTGTCCCTTGCACACACTATATGACTCTGTGTCCTTCCACTGCTCCACAGCGTGTCCCTCTGCCGTCTCCTCCTGCGTCCTCTCTTCCTGTTCTTGCTAACCCGGCGTCTGACTCTCTTCGTGCTGCCAGTCCTACTGTCACGCGTCTCCTGGCCACTGCTGTCACTGACCCTTCCTTTGAGTATGCTGCTGCGTCTGCCCTAGTTG